AAATATACATCTCCCAGTTGATACGATATCCCAGGGCTTGTATTTCCTATCATGATTTCCTTGATAAAGGGTTGCTGCTCACATGGGAGCTATTAAACAAAGAGTTTAAGTTGAAATCATCCTTTCGTAAATTTTTTTCGGACGCCATCACGAGTTGGTTGACCGTTATGGAATATATCTGTTTCACAGATGACAACGGATATGTTCCAATTGTCGTAACTACAATCCCGTCCCCTTTTCCCCGAATGTGACCCACCGAATTAGATTTATCACCGGGTTTGTACTAACATGAGCAACACGACGGGTGCCACATGTGGAACAGGATCTGCTTACCCTTCCGGAGCACCTGAGATCACCCCCAGTTTTTGGTGGGGTTCGTGTTGCTTAGTCGTTAGTTTCCTCTGTTGTGTTTTATGTACTGTTGTTTGTCTGTTTCTTTTTTAACCATGGCGTTGTCTGTTTATTTTCGATTTGTGGGTTTGAGTATTCCTTTAGTATCTTTAGCCTCTCTTTCACTATAAATGATGAATTTCTTTAGTGGCATATCACGGTTTAAAACCATACAATCACAAGAAGATCACCATAACGTATATAGAAACATCAGATTATATCCTGCTTTACAATATATAAGTAGCACATGAGGTATATAACATAACTTCTTTGAACCCCTTATGAAGTCTAGTTAGTACATATGAATCGTGTGTTCTGCTTCACACAGAATGTACACGATTAATACGAAAACGCAATTGCAAAACTTCATTAGAAAGAACAGAACAATATTCTTAGTGATTTCTTTCAAATTTATAGGGAGATGTTCAAAAGACGGCGAACTTTTTAGAGAGCTCAATTTGTTCAAAATGAATGGTTGATTTAGAGATGACCAGCGACAAATATTACAAAAATTCAAGGATGATAAAATGTTAATGAGATATAAATATACCATCCTTTGTTCTTTTAACGTGCAAGCTCACCAGATAAGAAATCACCGATTCGGAGCCGACGCGTAAAAAATATGTCGCGCGTTTCCTCTCCGTCAAACTCAGTGGCGCTCGACTAAAAAAAAATAGAAGGCCAAAGAAAATACGAAATAAGAAAACGACTGTTGAAAACCAAAAATTCTAATAAGTTGTGACAAAAACGGCTATCTATTCCTGGGTCCGCAGAAAATCAAGTTTTTCGAATAAGTCAACATTTTTATAAACAGTAAATTTGCAGAACCGAACTTATCAATAATAATACTTTATTGTCATATAAACATATGGTTGTTTTTGACAAAGAATAAAAACAAAATGTAACAAAAAAACACCAATTCAACTAATTGATACCGGGTATTTCATGAAGTGTTGTTTCAAAAAATGACTCTGCTGGTGATACCCTCGGGACGAACCTGGAATAAAACGGCAAAATGCAATGTTATAAAAAAACACTAAAATCTATATTAACTTTGTGTTTGTATAACTGATGTAAAATAGATAATAACAATTCTGTACAGCGCAGATGCACAAAATTACACCATTACTTATGAACGTAATTACCATCTGACGAGAAAATCAGCATAATGAATGATTGCATTTGTTTTACAGACATGGTATCAACACAGATTGGCATGCTGGAGACAGCAACAAGGACTTCCTGCAAATAGTGGTTCTGTCAAGGACTAATCAAGGTCATTCAAAAGTCACACTGTCCTATATATTTACTCAGGAAAGACTGGATTGTTCTTGATACGTGTAGTGTTAATTTCCAAATTTGTTGTTGTGTTGTGAAGTTATTTCTGTCTCTGAGATTGAAATGTTTAATACTATTATAATGAAACTAATGATAGTATTGATATACATCAGTGACAACCCAGAAATGTGAGCAATGAATCAAATCTACTGTGATTTCCACACGTGGCTAAAGTCGTTCTGAATATGTGTACATTTCTTTCAAGAAATAGTTCAGAGTCATTCCAGATAAAAAAGAAGAGCTGCCCACCACAGAAAACAAGCCTTAAAAAGCTTCCAAATCTGACTTGTATACTTTCTATTCATATAATGTATATATATATATATATTTAAGGAAACGAATATAATTACCAGTCCATGAAATATCAAGCATACAAGCGAATTTTAATTCAGTTCCATGTTTAAATTCTACTATCTGTCTCATTGGTCGATCGCATTACTATTTAAAAGCTAATATTTTTGCGAGTATTTTTGCCAGACATTTATAGTGTCGTAGTAATAAAGTTACAGCATAAATCATACATGTGTTAATCAGTATTATTATTAAAGAAATGGCAGGCACCACCCCCCCTCCAAAATAAATCATTTTGGACACCTGTAAATCTTAACCATCGAATTAAGCCGGGTTTTTTTTTATTGATTTCAGTTGTTTAATAATTTAACGAATAGCACAGGGGGGAAGTTAATTTGAATTGTCCAGGGCAAGATTATTTTTAACACATATATGGTTTATGCTGCAAGACAAGAAAAAATGGCTAAGAAACTATGTATGTGCAATATATTAAATTATTTTTCTGTATACATGTTTTATATATATATTAATGTAGCAATGTAATTAATATGATTATGTTTGCTTTACAAAAAGATCAAAATTAAGGAAATATTGATTGATAACTTGATAATTTTCACAAATGTTTTGAATGGCAATTTTTAACAAATTACCATGACGTTCTTCAGCTGCATTTTAAAATGCTTTTAAATTTGCAGGGCAATAATGTTGGTTAAAAATTTGCAGAAATGAATATATGAATGTCGAGGTCTCCAGTAATTCTGCAGAGTCCAGAAGTTAGTGTATTTTTATAAATGCACATCCTCATTGTTGATCAGGGATTTGTAAAGGCATGGCAGCATATATCTATGTTGTCTTGTGAAGTTGTTTATGTATCAGCATATTCCCCATGTTGTTTTTACACTATTTTGCTTTGTGTTATTATTTCAGATATTTATTAAACTGTTATGAAAATGTATGCCTTTCTTAGTCATTTAAAATTTTCTTAGGCCACATATCTCATGGTGTAAATCAATTTTTAAAAGATAGACAATTCATTATTAAAAAAAATGCTGAAAGGGATATGAAATTGGGAGAAAAATATGACGAAAATATTTGTTGGACGAAAGGAGGGACAAGGTGATTACTATACACCGGTAGCCCCAAATTTTGGAGTGGCGGTATAATAAACTAATATCAGACGTAAGAGTATTATCAGCTAACACATACATCTGGAAAACAGTTGTTTTAAAATAAGAAGGCATGATAAGGCCACTTTTTTGGACAATATGTCTCTGGTTATACTGATTTCCTAGAATTTGAATTTAAAGTATACAAGAAGTCTTTAACAATGTTCTCACACGACACAGGTAAGTAGAGAATACCTTTCATTACATAATACTTCATGTCACATTTCTGTTTACAATTCAGAAAAAAATATTACTGTTCTATTTCTTGACCTCGTAGCAAAAGTATTTGACAAATAAGAGATAAGAAATAGTTAATATTGAAATCATACATGTCTTTATTTTCTTTATGAGATACAAAGCCCATATAAACTGACATACTTATATGAAACTAAAATCTGTAAGAGGACTTAACATGTAAGTACAAAATAAACAAAAGGATTTCATTTAATGGATAAAAGCTAGAATCAATCAACACAGAGAGGTACTTCTGGATAATAAATGTTAGAGTAAATATAAGTGATTAGAAACAATCAATAATTGAAGTTCATTTACTATAGCTAGTGTCTGCATGGGGTCCTTCATTTCTGTATTCTTCAATTTTCTAGTTAATTTTTCTCTATTCTTTATATTTTTTGCCCATGATCCTCTTTCTTTTTATCTTAGTACATGTACCCAATTATTCTCTATTCTTTATTTTTTTGCCCCATTATTATCTATTCTTTATTTTTTTGAGTCCATTTTTCTGTAGATTTGGCCCATTATTCTCTAGTCTTTAAACCCCATCCAACCCATCATTTACTTCTGTATTCTAAATACTGATTTATCTACCATGTATCCCTTTAGAAAATAGGAAGGCTAATGGGTTTCCCTTTTTTACTGTGTTCCAAATACAAGAAAGCTACTGAGCTTTCTGATTTCAAACATGTTTTTCACACAAAAACCCTATTTTATCGTTATTCTTGTTTTTATCATGGGATTGCTGACACACCCCTACATCTCCTTTTATTCATATTGATGTAGAACATATTTCAATTATTTCCAAATTTTAGTCGTTTTTCTGAATTTTTTGTATCAACATTCAAATAAAAAAACTGAAGAGTGAGTACTCTCAGATCTATACTTGGTGTCTTTTTTGTTGTGGGGATTTATAAATACCCTACCATGCCGGTCTATGTTTTTATTACTTGTTTTTCTGCTTTGTATCAATCTGATGAGTTCGGCCCTTTTCAACTGATTTTTTTTATAGTTTGTGCATATTTTGTGCTGTTACACCACGGTCCCAGGATAGGGGAGGGTTGGGTACCTGCAAACATGTTTAACAAAACTTTTTGCTGTTTACCATATTTGTTTTTCGTTAAGGGCCTTTCATAGCTGACTATGCCATATGGGTTTTTCTCATTGTTGAAGGCCGTATGGTGACCTATAGTTGTTAACTTCTATGTCATTTGGTCTGTAGTGGAGAGTTGTCTCATTGGCATTCATACCACATCTTATTTTAATAAAATAACTTAGGTAGCTTGGACATTTATATTTATATGTGTATTTGCTCTCATCCTGATCAAGTATGAAATATTTGCCTCTGGATTTTAAGCACTGTCATGAAAAAATCAATCAATATATTGTGAAAACAAAAAAATATTTTTACATCAAAATTGTCAATTTCTACAGACCAAATTGTCATAATATGGGGATAGTGGGACAAATGTTGGGATTTTCAACCAGCCAAATGGGCAATTTTAAAAACTTCCATACTGTAAGATCACTTAAATCCTTCTAAAATAATTTAAGAGTGGTCTCCTAAATAATAAGTATAAAACATTTGTGTCAATACTTTATTTCCATATTTATTCTGTATGAAAACATCAACATATGATATGATTTCACATCAATGGTTACTGATTAATGATATTTCTAGTGTAATAAAAGAGAAATTAAAAGATAAATCACAATTACATGGAAATTGGATGTAATTTTCTTCAATTACTCGCAATCCCAATTTAAAGCTGATCAATGTTTAGCATAATTATTTGAAAAAGTATGAATTTCGTTGTGCTTAAAATTGTCTATTTTGATTGACAACAATACTTATCAAAAACTGGTACTACATCAATAAAAATACTAAAAATAAGTATGTGTACCATAGCTGGATGATGAAATTGCTCATAAATAACTCGCTCTTTAAATCATGAAATTATGCTGAACGATGTATAAAAGGGATTGTTTAATGAAGAACACATGTTTTAAATGTTCATGCTTAAAACCTGCAATTTGCTATTCTGTCTGAACACTGCTTATCAAAGCAGTCGCTCATTTTCTTTTAAAAAATTGTTAAAGCCTTATTGTGATACATTAGCAAATTGTACCCTGAAGTAAACATGTGAAATACAAATGATACACAATCAACTGGTGTGGTAAATTTTTCAAGCAGAAATTTAGTTGACTAACAAATAGCATTTTCGTTAAAACATATCCAGTAATTGGTCAGGACATATCCTTTACCTTTGTCCACCATATTTAAAATAACGATAATACAAATATTCTTATACAAAATCTCATAGCCATGATCAATTGTAGATGTCAAATCATATTTCTTTCACCATGCTTCAGACAAAATATGTCAGCATTTTAGAAAAAAAACAAAACAAAGGCTTAACAATTATTTCTTTACAGAAAAGAAAGACTTAATAATATGTCTTGTAGACATGGAAGCACTGACTTTACCAAAACATGCTAAACATATTACTGATATCAAAAGGATTTCTGTAACACTGACACAAATCTTATTTTATCAAATCTAAGTTGAAGATTCATGTATCTATGTAAAGAGAGACAAGACTAAACCTACATTACAGGCCATTAAAAGGTGCAGATTCTTCATCATGAAACCTATTTCAGTCCAGTATCAATATTTATATTGTTAGCTAAAGCATCTTAATTATTTCTTTTAAACAACTCTACTATTCTAAACCAAGTCTGTGCTGCATTTAACCTTTTAAACTGACATTAATTTCAAACTTCAATAATGAATTTCTATCTTATACAATATACATCAATAAAAAAGCATCAACTTGTATAAAGTTCATCTACGACCACTTCGGCAAATAATGTCTTTCAGACAACTTTCTTAAATGAACTTTCAAATCACAAATATATCAGTATATCAGGCAGTTTGTATCAACCAATAGGTTGTGTTTCTTTCATCATCCACTTTAAGGCCTCTTGTTTTCCTTGTCGTTTCAGTTCAGCACCCACTTCATCTCTACATTGTGTATGATAATCATTAATCCAGTTTATCTGTAAAACAACAACTCAGTTACTATTTCTATATTTCAAATAATATTTGACTTACTAAATTATCTCCCCTAATGCAATATTTCAATTATTTCAACAATCAATGAACTGTAAAACTAGAGTCAAGGTCAAGCACTTTGGTGACTGACTGCGGTTTTCTACAACAGTTGGCTAAAATTTCTGACCAGTTGAAGTATTGGGTTTGATAAAAACAAATTGCAAATGGGTCAGAATTTTGAATGGACTGCAACAGGTTGAGAGAGCAACATCTACAATCAAGTCTCAGTAACATATCTATAATATTTTTTTAGATACAGATATAACTTAGTTACTTAGGAACTGAGCCAGTCCTTAAAACTTAACCTAACCAATATAGTAAGAAAATGTGGTCCAGACAATATGACAGAAATTTACATGCTTCACCAAATCCACTTACCAAATAATGTTGCCATGTCATGCATTGTTAAAGAGAATACTACTGACCACTCAAGCCCCAAAATTAGGACAAGGTCAAATGTCATATGTTAGAAGGATATGTACTTGTTAAACTTCACTTTGCCGGACTACTAGACCATGAAAATGTCCAAGGTTGCAATTACTCGCTGAAATTGGCTTATAAAAAAAATATTCCTACAAATCATTTTCAACATGAATTTTTTTGTACAGTAAAAGGAAAATAAACTGTTAACACAGAGATATGTCTTGCCTATCGGCATAAAATTCAGCCAAAAACAATCTGATGGACAGCAACATTGCTTATTAATTCAGTCACTGGACTATGATCTAGTGGGTAGGGCATACCTGCCAACCCTCCCGTTTTGAGCGGGAGACTCCCGCTCAAATGGCGAAATTCAGGAAATTTCCTACTTGCCGGTACCCTCCCGCGCGGGAGTATAGAATCTCCCGCTTTCGGATAATTTCCACCTTGAATGACAAGTCAACAATAATTACGTTTTTGTGTCACTGATGAGGGTTGTTTTTACCTGTAAATCACAGACCATGTGAAATTAAATGGCTTCACTTGACAGCTTGGGTGTCAAACATAATACTAATTAACGATCATTAACGACTTTTGCTTCAAGCTTTGTGATATACTTCAAAGAAGTTTCGGGTTACTTCCCCTGTTTAATTCTGTTTTTTTAAAAGTTATTCTTCTTAAAATAATCTGTTTTGATAAAACAATATAAACTAAATACAAATTAAACAAAGAATCATAAAGGATGGCAATTAAAAGATTTTGTATGCCTTAAGACAAAAAAATTATTATATTTTAAAAATATCTTAAAAGATCTATACTTCTATTCAATGTTTATATTGAAATTTATAAGATATGTATTGAACCAAAATTGGTGAAATATACGAATGCACACACTTAATGCACTATTTGAGACAACATGATTGCACTCAGTATCACACAGAGGTATCTGGGGTGAAAAGTTGTCCTGATGGATTCATATGTCAAAGATGATGAAATAGAAAAGAAACAAACAACACACATTCTGTAGGATATAACCATATTTAAAGAAACAAAGTGTATCTATTAAATCTTATATGTGTTTCGTAGATGAATAAATTAACATGTCATATATTTCACTTGAAAATGTCGTTCTCGCAAAATCTCCCCCTCAGCTGTCATAGCTGAGAGGGAGGTCTCCCTCTTTGAAGATTTCAGAGGTTGGCAGGTATGGGGTAGGGCCTGAAAATGGTAGACAAACTGATATGTACCGACAGTAATGTAACTTAACTGAAAATATCGTCGTTTATTGTAAGTAGATCCTATCAATATAACTTAAGCAGAAAAAATTAACATTGAAAATTGCTAATTAATTCAAAGTCACTGGACCATGTCCTAGAGGGCAGGGCCTCAAAATAGTCGTCAAACTGATATGCACTGATAGTAATGCAACTTCATACAAAATATCAATGATCTTTCACAAGTAGTTCTTACCAAACTGACTTAAGCAGAACAACTTAACATTGAAAATTGCTAATTAATTTAAAGTCACTGGACCATGAACTATAGGGCAGGGCCTTGAAATAGTCATCAAACTGATATGAACTGATAGCAATGCAACTTCATACAAAATATCATTGATCTATCACAAGTAGACTTTTGTCGCAGGCGAGACAATAAAATTAGAAATTTCATAGGTATATTCCTATGGTTTCTTGGGATATAACAAGTTGAATTGTGAACCATACTAATGTTACCCTGCTATAAGTATTTGGTAAGCTGGCAGTTAATGAGGGATGGGTGTGAAAATACATCAAATGAAGCTTATTCTGAATTTCAAAAAGCCTCTTTTTGTTGTTCCTGTAAAAAAACGAAAACCCTAACCCTAACCCTTTTCAAAAATTTCATATATGGCCATTATATATAATAATATATAAGTATTTAGTAAGCAAGAAGATGATGAGCAATGAATCTTAAAATGCATTTCAAAGTAATTTTTTATTTTGTAGTTCCTCAGAAAAATACCAACCAAAATGTTAAGGGATGGATGGATAAATGTAAACTAGTATACACTCTACCTCTGGAGTGATGGTATAAAAATATCAGACATTCTATTATGAAACTCAAATGTAATACTATACCAGATGATTATATTGACAAATTTCACACTGATCTACCATTGTAAGTTTTGTAGATATGCACTTATACACAAACCTTGTCAAATCTGGACACAAATCTCCAACACACTTTCTTGGATGAGAAGATAAAGTTAAACTACCAACCAAGGCAGTGGTGACAAATCCAAATAAATGAATAAAAAATAACTTTTGACCTGTCATCAGTTTTTTATTAACTTTACAAATATTATGAACGTGTGATCCATCATCTTCCAAGACTTGCCTAAATCTATCTTTTATTCAAAATTCCAGAAAAAGAAAGGTAAAGGGACTTAATCAGATTATAACTGTTATCACTATATCTTTTTCAGCAAGATTCTAAACATTGAAGTGTGAATGTGAACACTGACATTATTTGATAACAAGTAAATATACTGGATAATACCGGTACCTACCTCTTTTTCTGTGAGTAATGATGGAACAATCATTTTATTCTGGATTGGAACTAGGGTGATTGTTTCAAATGTTAGAAATCCTTTGTTCTTAAAGTTATGCTGAAAAAATTAAAAGGGAGTTAAGCATAGTTATTTTACATTTCTATTTTTAAAATTTAGTTACTTTTAAACAAACACAACAGAAAGTAAAAAGTAAGTAGTAAACACAATTTTGGGTGTATTTAACCCTGACAAATTGTTTAAAACTTACAATTTAAATAGTTTACCATATAATTTTTATTTCCTAACCTCCTGAAATCAATACTTTAAAGGAAAACTAGATGTGTTGGTATGACAAATTGCAGCTTAAGTTTTAAATTAAAATAACCCTTTATCAATTGTGTGCTGCTTTGAACTGAATCTGAACTGCTTTTCTGGATTTAAATCCAAACAATGTGAAGAGCTATATGGCAAAAGGGACCAAATAGATAGCCAACTTCATCTAAGGTCAACTTTGCCTGAGGTAGTTGGAACCTTAGTTTCTTCATATAGATTTATCAACAAATTATGTACATTTCTGGGAATTCAAATAAATGTGAGGTATATCAAGATGTATACTGTAAAAACTGTGTACATGGGATTATATTGTGGCTGATACCACAACAAAACTGAGAAATTCATTATGTATTTGTTAAATGGGAAAAGTTGTTAAAACCATATGGCATATATTTAACATCAAAACTGAAATTCAAACTTGAAAATCTCCAAAAAGTCAGTCAAAAGGTAAAAAATGTAAACTCAATCTGTGAGTCATCATTATTAATTATTGTACCAAAAAACACCTCAAGATCTGCAGAAGTCCAGACAAGTACAATTTTGATGATTTTCTAAAGTCCAAATGCTGGAATGCCACCAAAAAAAATTAGCCAATCATATTAAATGCAACTTCAATCAAACTCAATTGGTAAGTAATATCTACAGGCATAATGAAAAATCTGGACAAAACTATTTGTGCAATTAATTTTATTTTGGTTTCTGTAACAAATAAACAGAGATATGTATCGCCTTTATGTATTTTTGATAATTTAAAGCAATTGTTGATACTTGAACTATGCAGCACATTCAAAGTCAATAAACCATAGCTGAAGGTGCAGGGTCAAATACCCATTGTGGAAATGCCAACTGTATACTAAATACCATTGATATATCATAAGTGGGTCCCTTTAAACTGACCTTAAAGAAAAACTTAAACATGTTAACTTGCAAACGTTTCAAAGTCAATATCATAACTGAGGGGTGGGGACAAATAATCTTCATGGAAATGCTTATACAACTACAAATGTCAATGACTACCACCAGTGTTTCCCCTTAATCTGACCTTATCACAAACTTCAACATGTAAACTTAGGAAAAGTTTCAGTCAATAGACCATGTCTGAGGGGAATGGACCAAATAATCTAAATTGAAATAAGATGTGACAATGTTAATACAACTGCATACCAAATATCATTGACCTACAGTTAGTAATTCCCCTTAAACTGACCTAACAACAAACTAATACATTGTTGACGCACACACTACCGGAAACAGCATGCCTAAATCTGGATTTTTTCGACTTCCTCGAGGTGAGAGAAAAATTAAAATATGACTAAAAGTGTCCAAACCAAAAACAAAAATTGCTGAGCAACTACTTTGGTAAAACCACTAAAATATCCCAATTTACATAGCATCAGACAAAAATTGTTTTTATCTATTGTTTCTTTTATACTTTTAAAATAACAAACCTGTGTGTCTGCTTTCTTGACAAGGGCCAAGTTTTCTATTCTGACACCAAACTTTCCATCGTCATAATAACCTGGCTCTGTATGAAGAATTATAACATTTAAAGTTTAATTGCAAATAAAATGCTCCGCTGGAGCAGCTTGATACGACCGCAGAGGTTGAACCCTGAACAGTTTGGGCAAGTATGGACACAACATTCAAGCTTGATACAGCTCTGAATTTGGATTGTGATTAAATGTTTGACACAGCATAGGTTTCTGACACAGAATGAATGTGGTCTAAGAACTTAAAATTTTTTAATTTACCTACTATGGTCCAATATCCAAAATCTTAATACATACACGGTTAGATTCAGTATATCATAGAACCCCAAGAATTCAATTTTTGTTAAAATCAAACTAAGTTTAATTTTGGACCCTTTGGACCTTAATGTAGACCAATTTGAAAACAGGACCAAAAATTAAGAATCTAAATACACGGTTAAATTCAGCATATCAAAGAACCCCAATATTTCAATTTTTGATGAAATCAAACCATATCATTATTATTTGCTTTTATATATAAATAAAAAATAACCAACTTAAAATGGAAAATTTTAAAGAAAAAAAAAGGGAAAAAAAGGAAAAAAAATCCCCCCCCCCCCAATTTTTTGAACCCCCTTATGATTCATCACCCCCAAACTCAATCCCAGCCTTCCCTTTGTGGTATGGTACCTTGCAGTACAATTTCAGATAGATCCATACACTTGAACACAAGTTATTGTCTGGAAACTGTAATAAACTGCTTCGCTGAGCGCAGCTGGATACGCCCGCAGAGGTCCAACCCTGAACAGTTGGGGCAAAAATGGACACAATATTCAAGCTTGATACAGGTCTGAATTTGGATTGTATTAAAAAAGTTGACATATTATAGGTTTCTGAATAAATGTAGTCAAAGAACTTGAAATTGGTTATATGAATTGAATTTATTTTCAATTAATTATTTCTTGCTGTTGTGCAATACACTGTGCTGTTACGCAATACTTAGTAAATCTGTTGTCAGACTATAAACAAATAAAGTTCAATTTATTCTCAATGTCATATTAGAAATTTATGAAAATGTAAAGGGAGCTTACATCAATAGATATAAACAATTCACTTGCTGACAGCATTTTTGAGTTATTGTCTGAAAACATGAAAATCCCCTCTTTTTTAATGAATAAAACCCTATAACTCAGAAATGAAAAATGCAAAATTTATAAAATTCTAAATGGAGCTTACATCAATATATATAAACAATTTACCAAAGTTTCATACAAACTTCTGAAAGCATTTTTGATTTTTTGTCTGAAAACTGGAAAATCCCCCTTTTTTTATGAGTAAAACCCTGTAACTCGGAAACGTAAAATTTAAAATATATAAAAATCGAAAGGGAGCTCATGTCAACAGATATAAACAATTCACCAAAGTTTTATGCAAATTGGTTAAAGCATTTTTGAGTTAATGTCTGACATGTTGACGACAGACGGACGGACAGACGGACAGATGGACGGACGGACAGACGGACAACAGTATACCATAATACGTCCCGTAAACGGGCGTATAAAAATGCTTGTTTTTTGGCCTCTTTTTGGTCTCAATTCCTATACATTTAGGGCAATTACCCCCAAACTCAAACCCAGCTTTCCCTTTGTGATATGGAACCTTGTAGTACAATTTCAGAAAGTCCATACACTTACACACAAGTTATTGTCATGAAACTAGAAAAATGCTTGTTTTTTGCCCCTTTTTTTGCCCCTAATTCCTAAAATTTGGAGGCAATTACCCCCAAAATCAATCCCAGAATTCCCTTTGTGATATGGAACCTTGTGGTACAATGTCAGAGAGATCAATACACTAACACACAAGTTATTGTCTGGAAGTTACAAAAATGCTTATTTTTGGCCCCTTTTTGGCCCCTAATTCCTTAACTGTTGGTACCATAACCCCCAAAATCAATCCCAACCTTCCTTTTGTGGTATTGAACCTTATGGTAAAATTTCATAGAGATCCATTCACTTAAACTAAAGTTATTGTGCGAAAACCAATGTGTCTTCGGACGACGATGACGCTGGACGACGACGCCAATGTCATACCAATATATGACCGCAAAAATTTTTTACTGTCGTATAAAAAATTTGGAGAAAATTTGGGATACATTTTTTAAATTAAACTGACAAATTATTTTCTACAGAACAATTGTAATATACTTATAGCATATATAAAAGCAAATCTGTAGTTACCATGTTTGTGTTAGATTTTGGTAGTTGTTTACAGCCTCGCTCTTTGATCTCTGGTGGATAGTTGTCTCATTGGCAATTATACTAAATCTCAGAAAACACAAATACTTATAATAGGCCACCCTTAAAAAATTCTTTGTTTGATGTTGCCTACCCATGCCTTGGAAAGAGAGGGACAAAAGATACCAGAGGGACAGTCAAACTCATAGATCGAAAACAAACTGACAGCGCCATGGCCAAAAATAAAAAGACAAACAGACAAATAATAGTACAGATGACACCAAATAGAAAACTAAAGACTAAGCGACACGAACCCCACCAAAAGCTGGGGGTGATCTCAGGTGCTCCGGAAGGGTAAGCAGATCCTGCTCCACATGTGGCACCCGTCATGTTGCTTGTTATTACAAATCCGGTAAATAGTCTAATTCGGTAGGTCACATTCGTGAAAAGGGAAGGGTATTGTAGTTACGACATAAGGAACATATCCTATATCATCTGTGAAACGGTTATTCCATAATGGTCAACCAACTCGTGATGGCGTCCATAAAATTTACGAAGGGATGATTTCAACTTCACCATTTGGAACTCTTGGTTTAATAGCTTCCTTGTGAGCAGGAATCCTCTATCAAGGAAATCATGATAGGAAAAACAAGCCCGGGGATATCGTATCAATTGGGAGATATATACTCCGTATGCAGGCGCTGCTGGAATGTTGCTACATAGAAATGGAAAGTTCACAATTGGGAAGCAGAAATCATCTCTTTTGTCGTAAAGTTTTGTTTTCAACCGACCCTCATTGTCAATTTCTAGATGTAAGTCAAGATATGAGGCAGACTTAACTGTATCTGTAGTATCCTTTATCTCTAGTTCGATGGGATAGATTCGTTCAACATTGAAGGGTTGGGTAGGGAGGTAGGGATTTTTTTTGTTATTGTTTTTGGGGCAACAACATAAGTTACATGTTTTAGACAAGAAAACAACATTAGAGCAGGAAAATATCTTTAAAAAAAAAAAATTGAAATGATTTGTGTCATAAAATTTTTCTGCTAGGCTGCTTTTCAGTTGGTAGGTAGGCAACATTAAACAATTTAAGTTTTATTTTTGGCCTGAGATGTGGTGAGAGAAGATGTGGTACAGCAAAATAAGTTCCAAAATGTTCCACTTACCATCTGATAAGATCATTCCCTCTTCTAATGGCACATCTGTTAATGAAACTCTGGGACTTATACCACATGGACCTGTAATCATCACAATACAACACAGTGTAAAGGAACTACATATTTCTCAATTGCTGAAAAAGATTCTGGAATTGCACTTATCTTTTTTTGAATCTTTCATAACTTGACTGAACCATGTTAAAGTGTTGATTTTAAATAAAGAGCTGTGTCATGAGCATATGATACCCTAATTGCCCTTTTATCTCATCTTTATGCTTTAAATTCATTTACATTCATTCACTGCTTGAAAATGTATTATTCCAGAAAAAGGGAAGCTAAAAAATGAACTGCTTGTAAGAAATATACTGTCCAAGGAAAGGAAAATAAAAGAAGAAAACCAATAGATAATCACATTATTGAAATTAGCCTTAGTCCTACATTCCTCCTCTATATATAGAAGACCTTGGAATTCATGCACATTTCATGCATTTCCCGTACATTTCTGTTACAATGCTTATGTTATTACATCACAGTAAGAACCGATTGTTCAATGATGTCAACTGGTGTAACAACTTGAGATTGGTGTATAACTTTAAATGTTGAAGCATTAAAAGAGATGTGCTCCTTACAGAGATAAATGTTAGGTGATAGTTTTATAAATACTGCGTGTTATTCAGAACATTCTTTAAGAATATCTATGCTTGAAAATTCAAAAATATTTAAGAATGTTCCAAGACAATAACTTGCATCAAGTCAACAATGTACATACCTTCATGAACATTAAGGAAAGCTCCCACACCATGGCCAGTACCATGTAAATAATCTAAACCAACATTCCATAGTGATGTCCTAGCTAGTGTGTCTAACATGTGTCCTATAACAGAATATCAGTATAAAGAGAACATTTGTAAAAACACCAGAAATTATGTTATCTATTATCATAAAATATATAAACATGAAACAATATACTTCTTAAAAAAAAAAAATCTATAAATTGCATACTCTTATACTATTCACGTCAAATTTAATCAATTAACAAACAAGTGGTGCAGTACTCTTTTCTGTCAAGTTTGCTTGGTTTCTGTAAAAGTGGTTTCGGGCAGTTGCAGAAAATATGTGCATGCAACTTCTCTAAAGTCATACAAAAGCCTCTACTTGGCAAAGGGAGCCCTTATATTCATTAACAATAAAAATGTCTGTGTTATACTACACTTCATGATTATAATATATTGAGACCATAAAGAAAAGGGGACTAGTTAAAATTACTGTGTGAAATATATAAAAAGTTGAAGAAGACTGGTAAAATAAAATGTTTATATATTTCACTAACCTTTGACTCCTTGTGGGAAAACAGCTGTACACAGGTTGATATTTCCTTTCAGAACTCTTGTAAAACATTCCTACATTAATGAAATAATCATAATAAATTACTTAATAACAATAAATCAGTTTTTTAATTAGATTTAGGTTAATGCCGGGTTAATTATTCTTAGGACTTGATACTGGAAGATACACATGCAAATTCTTTAAGTAATGACATGCTTAATCTACAAAACATAACATTTTCTGAGAGAGCAATAACATTTTTCTATCAAAGACCATTGAAAAAGTTACAAATTATGTGTAAATTATAAAATTCAATATTGTGCTCCTCTATATTTTCATGCATATCATTGATTTAAAGGAAAACAAAAGACTTCATTCATTACAGAAAATTATTAATAACTTCTAAATTTGTGGATAGAATCACAAAAAAATGGTTTAATTTATATATTTTAATCTCATCTTGCTACAAAATACACATTAAATCTTAACTAGAGGTACTGTTAGCAAAAAGATCCCCAAAAACAGTTCTGCCAATGATCAGGTACCTTTTCAAAATCAGTTGGTGTTCCAAAGTGCATTGTTCTTGTAACATCTGTTGTTCCATCTCTACAACAAAGTATTCAATAATTATCAGATACAAAGGACTAGGCTTTATCAACTGAAAGGGACTTTTTAATTTGTCATCCTAATTAAAAAGAAATAATTTTTGATACAGTAAGCAATACCATATAATACTGACTCCTTTATTTCAGCTAAAATATTATAAAAATATAAAAATAATATGCATGGTTCTTGTTGATTTTGAAACTATGGCAGGAATAAAACTTTCTACAACATAATATTTTCAAAAATGTTTAGGCTATTTAAGAAAAATGTTTCCTTATGTGCCAAATCAATATATACAGCAAAACTTACTTGTACTGAGCTCCTGAGTCACATAAATATATCTCTGATGTACTCAATGGAAGATCTGTTTCTTCTGAGGGTCTGATAAAATAAGGTATTTAGATATTTAAATACATCATGTGTGTACTCACTTATTATGTATAAAAACATGTGCGTACTTATGTCTAAGAGATGACATAAAAAAATATACTCACTTTTAATGTTTGACACTGTGTGTACTTAACTGTAATGCATGACTGAATGTGTACACTCATTTCTTTTGTTTGAAAATGTGTGTGTATTCAGATGTTATGTATGACATAATGAGTGTACTCTGTTGTAATGTATATACCATATGTGTAATCCCTTGTAATGCATGACACCCTGAATGCATTTAAGTATATTGCAACAGCATGTATATACTCACTTGTAATGTATACACCATGTACTCACTTGTAATGTATGACAGCACCATGTGCCCCTGTACTGGATATGGTATCAAAACTTAAACTGATATAATCTTCCTGGCCTCTGAAATAATTCACATATCACATTAGGATATAGCTTTGTTAAGCATGCATATTTAAAAAAAATATATAAACCGAAAAATTAAATAGTAAAAAATTAGTACAAGGTTCTGCAGATACCCTGTGTCTCACCTGCAATGCTGCTGTCAATGTTAAAGTGTAATGTTGACTATAAAGTGAGACTTTTAATCAATAAAATACAGAATTTAAAAAAAAAATCTACCTTTTCTTTAGATGTTATTTCTTGGTCTTGAAAATAGCTTCTGTCCAAGTTCATAATAGTCCATGAAGGTTTATGAATTTATCATATCAAAAAATTTTAATCAAAATTTTGCTCTGGATCATGTCTTTAGGTCATAAAAAAACTTCTATCTAAATTCTATAAAATTCCATGAAGACTTGACAAAGTCATTGATGTCTAAAAAAACTTCAACCACACTCAACCTAAAAGTGGATGCCGACGACGACAATGCTGACGACAACACCTAGGTTCACTATGTCATGCTTTTGCAACATACATGTATGTCAGAGGTTCAATAAGAATGAAAATATTGAAAATTGCACTTTTTACACAACTTAAAGGGACTCTATGCCTTTCCGCCTCTACACAATTTCTTTTACCCAAAATGAAAGTTGTATTATTTATTTTTAGAAAATGTTGAATTTTTGTCCTTGAATTTTGATTGATTGATTTTTGGTGTTTAGTGCCACTTTTAGTAGACTTGGCTACATGTTAGTAGCCATTTAAGGGTGGAGGATACAACAGTACCCACAGAGAATTACCAACCTTTGACAGTATAACTGGCAACCCTTGTCAATTTGAATCCAAGTTTTTATTGGTGGAGGAAGCTGGAGTGCCCTGAGAGAACCACTGTCCTTTGGCAGGAAATATGTAATTCCTAGTTAATTGATATTGAGATGAACCCACCTGCCATGAGCAATGTTCAAAATGTTCAAAATCACAATCTCAGTGTTCATTGATTTCTGGATTGTTGGTGTTTTATGCCACTTTTAGCAATACATGTATTGACTATATTGTGGTGTTCAGTTTGTATTAATGGAGGGAGGTAGTGCCCAGAGAGAACCATGACCTTCGGTAGGAAAACTGACAATCCCAGTCAATTATAATTGGAGTCAAACACACCTGCCATGTTAGGGGTTCAAACTCACAACCTCAGTGTTGTCATGCTAGTGATACTGTTAGTGGGCTCAGCAACCGAGGCCCCATACCTTGCTGAAGCCTGGTTTGAAACTCGCAACTACAGTGTTGACCAGCCAGTGATCACTGCAGCTGAACAACTTACAACTTTCAGTCACAGAGGTCAATCCTTGCTGCTAAATTGCATTTTGAATGGTACTTATATAAAAAAACAAAAATCATACAAAAAAACAAAAATCACAGCCAGAATATTTTTTACATGTTATTCATTTTTGATATGAATAAACAGAGACATGGGATACATATTGGTGAAACAAAACAAATTGTTCAGAGTTGGGAATTGAAAGTCAGTTTATTTGACTTTTGGTATTCATCTTCACTTTTTACACTGGCACATTTTTATGGCTGTAAATTTTAATGGAGGAAACTGGACTGCCAGGGGTATACAATTAACTTTCAACCAACATGTGAAAATACTTTTAGTGTTTTATATCTTACGGACAAAAACATTATCAATCAATCAAACGTCATAGCTTTTTGTAAATTTGATATGGTGCATTCTCTTGAAATTACACAATTGAAAATTACTTTACCTTTTGATATTTTCCAATTTTTCTGCAGCAGACACTTCAGTAACTGTTCCTTTTGGGACCTAAAAAATAAAATAAACAACAATTTTGAAATATAATTGTATGATATCAATTAGTGTGCTCAACAGATGCTTCTAGAAAAAGATCATCCTTCATTGAACACACAAAGTCAGATTGTAAATGGTGTGAGACATATAAACACATTTTTAAGCATTTTTAAAAAATTGCTTCTTTCTAACATTAAGTACAAGATGTTTTTTTTTTATTTGATAATTATTGTTTAACCTTAATGCTTGAAATAACATTGCTACAAGATGGACAAGCTGTTGATATATTTAAGCAAATAATTTCCTCTTTATAAAAAATAGTTCAAGTTCTGTGGAAATCTTTCAATTTCAATTTTTTCAACTTTCTTTTTCCTGCAACAAATCCAATGGACTTTTAACTATAGTAACAACTACAATTAATACAAAAATAAACTTACTTCTGTTTCTAACCAGCAGAAATATTCACAAAGTGTAACTGCATCCTTCAGCTGCAACATAAAAAAAAACATGTTATTTCAAGGGTTTATGTTTAAGAATGTTTGATGATCTTGTTTTTGACTTTTGTCAGATATTCAGTATCCTCTGGTTTTATTCATTTTGTGCTATCAAAAAATTTTGACCGCTAACCCCTACTTTTCTTTTTATTATTTTATAACATATAGTTTAAAAAGCCATTTTTTTAAATTCTTATAAATTCTTATTTTTTCATACAATTTGAAAGAAAAAAAGTGGCAATGTAAAATGTGTGAAAAATCTAAAAAAAATTCAGTTCCCGACTGTCAATGGTCGATGATCTATTGAAACCTCGATTCATTTTAAATAATCATTGATGCTTAAAAAGATTTCAAAAGTCATATCTATGTTAAAATATAAAAAAAATGTGCTCTCTTGAATTTTAAACGTCTTAATGCCACTGACAACTTACATGTGCTCGCCTCATACCAGCTATTTCTGTAGCATTTTTGACAGCTTTCATGGCAGTAACAGGTGATGGCTGAACATATCTTCTGTTCTAAAATACATTTTATCTATCATCAAATATATATATATAAAAAAAATATATTTCATTCAATATACACTACTTAAATTTCTCTTTTGCTTTAAATAATAACATCCAAAAATGGTTCATTCTTTTTTATTGAGGAACATTGATAATGAAACTCCAGAAATTGATAGCCATATATGGAATTACTTTGGAAACTTTTCAGTTTAAACTGAAATTTGGTTTTCTCAGGGTTCAGTTTTCATAGTTTCACTGTATTTCTTTGTAAGTAAATGTTGTTAATTGATGGGTGTACATTTATCTTACCTATTTCAAAACAAAATTTCGGAGTAGTGAAAACTAAATGTTATTAACGCCTTCATTTTAGAAAGCAATAGTGTAATTTATGTAACTTTCACATTTTGTTTCATTCTATTATATTCTCATTAATATTCTCATTTGAATAGTCTTTTTTGTGATGCACTTATTTATCGAATATGTGACATTGCGATTAAACATTTATATATAGTATTGTGAGAGTCTTGAGAAAGTAACATTTTCCAAATTGTCTGCAATAGAAATTTCAGTTAACACATTAAGCTACATAGTTTTTTTTCATTTGTGTCAGAAATTAAACAAATTAATATAAAAAATTATGTTTATATTTTCTTGATCAGCTACTAAATTTTGTTCATTAAGCAAATTGATTGCAACTTACTTTTGGAACTGCATTAAACACAGCAAAACTTGACTTTGGATTGATCTACAATAATACATTATTTTTAATTTGCATGAGCATAAAATGTATATACTAAAAACTTTATATTAGAATTTATGAAAAATGATAAAGGAAATGAAAGAATATAATAATTTTAAAGAATTTTTTTTTTAAATTGACATTGGAAATGTTGTGTTTGTATTTTGCATTAAATTTTAAGAAAATAATCTTCTTTAATTGTAATTCATTTTCAAAGACAACATTTCTTGACAGCATTCTGTGTGCAATAAAATAAATCTGCAGAATGATTTTTAGGCAAAGACTTGGATCATTTTTGATTCCTTTATTAATTAAAAACTCCAGCAATCTTATAGTACTTTTTAATATACATACCCAGATTTTACCTTCCACTTTATCCACAAGCTCAGCCACAAACTTTCCTACATCTCCATATGGATGTATTGTAACAGCAACTTTACCACCAGATGAGCCATTTAGACGTAAGTGATCTTTTACACTACTTACTAACCTCTCCTCATCTATAAACAGACTGAAAAGATATCAAAAGTATAGTTATCATGTTTTAGCTTAGATCATGCTGTGATACTGAGCTATAACCTCTGACCTAGATACTAAAAAAATTATGATAAAGCTTAGGATTATACCCAGTTTGATGCAGTTTGGATGAAAGATTCAAAGTTCTACTTTTCCTATATGAATGCAATGAACACATATTTCTTATATTCTTACTTATCAGTTTTATATATTTTTTTTTGTAAAAGCTTCTAATGGGTTGCATGCAAATTTATTTAGATTTTTAAAGTAACTCCTGCAAAGTTTTGTTGTTTCATACACAAATGTTATTATAGAATACTAAAATATTCTCAATCTATACAAATAAAAAATTCAAATTCAAATCTAAAAATAACTTTCTGTGCAGTGATACACATCCTTGCCAAAAAAAACAAGCATGCAGAGCAACTTCAGGAATATTCATGATTGCTCAATTAACATTATCACAAATCTAGTGCCCAGTGAGGAAAACTTAAAACATTTCGAATAGAACAGCATTTTCATGCTAAAAAATGAACGCAAAAAAAAAACACCATGAAATTGGGAAGGACTATTTTTATAAATCCTATTCATAATCATATTGTTAGCCCTTGACACAAAACATATCAATATAATAAATATAACATGCCAATATTAAGATTTTCACTTAATATAATTTCTTTTTTTCTTTGCCTACCTCAGTATCTTCTCTGAAAGATCTACATTTTCTTTTCATTAAGAATAAATATGTAGACTGGTAGTTTATCTCCCTTATCTTACTGAAACATCACAGTTCACATTATTGCAAAGTTACTTTATTCAAGCTTCTTTCTAAAAGTGTTTTGTAAATTTCTGATGAGTCCTCAAAGTACTGAACATGGTACTTTTTTTCCCAAAGCTAGAGTAAATGTTTATTAGACCAATTAGGTGACATACTCAACTGTTTCCTTGGTAACAACAACATAACCAAAGAAAACTGGATTATACTGAATGTCTGAACCTCTCAAATTAAACAGCCCTGAAAAGAATGTATACTACAAATGAAGAAAAATCCTATCAAAGTTCAATGTTTCAATTAAGAATTGAATGCTTCTTTTTGTAACTTCATTGGGGTGTAAAAGCGCTGACCGAAGTACATTTTGTATGAAGCGCCGAAGCGCTTCATTCTAAAAATGTAGGCACGGTCAACGCTTTTACAACCCTATGAAGTTACTAAAAGAAGCATTCAATACTTATAATTACATTTTTTCGCTATGATCATGAAAATACGATTACTATCAAGTTTTTTCTTTTATTTACCTGTGCACTTTATTGTAGAAGCACATGTCATCATGAATGTTACAATTCATTTTGAAATGAAGTTGATTAAGGAATAACACAAGATTGCAGTTAGCCCATCAGAATAACGTATTATAATGAAACATACATCTAATGTAATTATTTAATCAAAAAATGTAACTTAAATATATATGTTGAGACAAAAAAGCATTAGAAAATTAGCTGTAGTTGCAATGCAAATATATAATTATAAAAATAAGTGTAAAAAGTGCAGAAGTTAACTGAATATAAAGAAGGCTAGCAATATCAACTTCATCATCTTAAATTGGCTAAAAAATATAAAAAAATATCTGACAAAAACATTTTATATTCTTGTAAATTAAAATTCAAATCAGAAAAAAGGAAAGCAGGCTTTACTCTACTCTACAATGTTGACATTTTTCTTATCATTTTGAATATGCATGTACTAATTGGCACTGAATGTTAAGCAGCTGCAACCAATCATATGTGTTTGTGTGATCAAATTTTGTGTGTTTGTTGTTCACTCCACAGAACAGCTTGTTTACCTAAATTAGATTTGCCTAGTCCATATAAAATACTTAATACTTTCTTACATGCTAATTCATCAAGAGGTGTTACAACGAAGGCACCACAGTTCTTGGACTTCATTTTTTCTCTTACTTTCAGCACTTTGTCTTCCCATTTCTGTCCTGTAACATAATTTTTCCTATGGTGATGTAGTTTGATCAAATTTACAATCAAATTTCATGTAGTTGCCTTATCTCTTTTACCATCCACACTTTACCATGTTTCCCACTTCAGAAAAAGTTAACATAGGCAAGAATTTCTCAATACATGTAATTACTGACTACTGATTTCTCTCAACAAAATAAAATATGAATTTACAATATTAAAATGCATTTTTTGCTGTCATGTGTTGCTGAACTGGTGTCACACTACATTACTTTTTTTTTTATCTATACATGAATTCAAATTAGCGAAGACTCATTTTGTGTTGTTACATCAGCCTCTAATTTCTTAAGAAACTATTACAATGACAAAAAATAGATATGAAATGAAAATTTTATACCATATGGGAACACGAAATAAATATATATACAACATTCTGGATGGTGTGAGCATACAGAAATAAAAGAACATTAATATGCAATTCACATCATTTATTTCAATTAAAAATGAAGGCCTGCAACTCATTTATAAAATCTGAGGAGAAAAGTACTTATGAGTCATGAACATTTCAGTATATGTTATATAATTCTTGTGAAGAGAGCACCTAACCTCCAAAAATGGTTGACCCTTATAAAAAACAATAGGGAAGTTTTAAGTATGGAAACTAATGTCTATCCTTTGACAGGAGGGCTTGTGTCTGTAACTGTGTAACATTTGTTTTCTCTTCGTGTCTGTTTTAATGCCATTTTGTTGTTTTCTCATTGACATTTGTTTCATTACCTTTTGTCAAAGATGTTAGTTATGGGGATTCCTGCATGCTTTTTTTTCTGTATTGTGGCCTTTTATTACTTTACTAATGATACCTGTGTACGAATCAGGAAGGACCATCAATGGATTCTGTGGAGGAGATGGTCTATCCTCCCAAGCAAGATCTACTAAGTTCTGTGATACAGGGACTAACATATGTCCAGCCTCTTTTAAAACTTTATCCATTGGTTTCCAAGTCTCTGAAAAGTTATTTTATTGTAAAAAATTATAAATTACTTTAAACTCAGGCCTGTTCAAGAAAATTTAACATATATCAATCACTGAAGACAAAACACTGAAATTACATCAATAGGTAAATGGGTTTCTAAAATACCTCTTTTTTACAAACCACCTCTGTGGTCTCATGGTAGCATGCTTGCCTCAAGTGAGGGAGTTCATGGGTTCGAACCCCAGCCAGGTCAAACCAAAGACTTGAAAATTGGTATATGCTATTTTTCCCCTAAGCAGGCGGCATTTAGAAGTAAGAGCAGACTGGTCAGCTTGGAGTCAGAATAATGTGTACGGGTAGGGTGACATGTCTTCCTGCAGACTCTTACCTTGTGAACTAGTAAATTAAAAATACAGCTCAGCATGTCAGTCTAGTACAAAGCAGGGTTTATATTCATATCATATATGTTCTTGTCCTGAATATACATTTAATTTGCCACTGGACATAAAACAGCCATCCATCCATCCATCTATTTACAAAGATGGCAAGACATCATTCTGTGGGTAATATTTATGGCAAATGGTAATCCTTCACATCATTTGTCCAAATGAAATTGTATCTGTTAAGTCAATTGAAGACATTCACTGTGGATTGTTTTGACCTTACTGATTAATTGATTGAATTTTGCTGGAATAATGTCCACTGGCAATTGTTCCTTTGACTTATGTGAATGCATTAAGTAAGGCAAAATGTGTTAAGATGACTTTCAACAGGACATTATATGATGACTTACCAGAAGACATTAGGTAAGGATCAACTCCAACTCTGCCACCAACAGGTAATTCCTATCAATATAAAGTTTTTGAATTTTCAAATGAGTTGGAATACAATTCCATATAACTATAAAGTCTAATCATTTACAATATATGATTAAACCCAGGAAATTAAATTCTGTATGCAATGCAGCTTATAAAAATGTTAATAAATGTTTATTTCAAATTACGTTCTCTTGGTCATACCATTAAGTATTAAATCCATCCGGTTAAAACATTTTTTTCTCTTGAGTGATAAAATATTTAAGAAATAATTATGTCATCCAGACCTATAATACACATTCAAAAGGCAGCCATTTTGATTTGATGAAACCAAAATGTTAAACAAAATCAACCGTTTCACGATTTGCGGTCGTATAAAAATGAACTGATACATGTAATCATACCACATCTTTTTATTTTTACAAGAATGATTTTATTTACTTTACTAGAAAGCAACACCAACACAAATGTCCATTTTGATCCCCGGCCCTGTTCAAAATACAACAGACGTTGCAATTTCAATTGTGACGTAAATCATGTGCAGCCCATGTTCTATCGGAATTAGAACATGGCTTTGTTTCCAAAGCGAAAGAAGAACGTCTTATAAAAATGGTAGTTTTTGCATATTTGTTTGTTGATCTTTTTACTTCAGCCATTTTGAGTACTAATTCATGGCAAAGTATTGTATATATAAAACTGTAAATATAAGTATCTCTCAATAATCTATATACCTTTGACAGCCATTCTGCTTGTGATAAAGTGTCTGGTAAACCTAGAATACACAAAAAACTATTACAATATTAATGTATAGACATCCAAAATTATAATATAAATCAGATTGATTATTATTTAATTCCAAACATCTGTTTAAAAAAACCTGTTACAAAATCCGGCAGAAAAAATGGTAGGTGATACTAAAATACTGGATGCAGAATTAAAAACTTCAAACTACATTGTATGTCCCCAATTTGTATATATATATAGCAAAGTTAAAATTTTGTCACAGGAAACATTAAAAATAATATAAATTGATTAAAAAATAAATAAATAATAAAAACTGCAGTATTAAATTGAGTTATAAAGATTCACTGACATATTCATTGAAATTCATGAACTGGTTAAGAAGTAGTGGTAACTATAACGTACAGAGGGACAAAGGAATGAGCAGACACATAATAAATCTTGCCTCAGCAAGTGGGGTATTAATATAAACCAAAAACTATCACGAATCTGAATAGATCATTGGGGATTTGAGTAAAGATGAGTCAGTGCCTCACAAAGATCTACCAACCACATTTAGTTTCAACTTGTTTTACATTCTAAAAAGAAAAATATATAATTCTACATACAAGTATTTCCTAAAGAAGTCTATTTAAAATGAAGTCCCCTGCTTCTGACAATATTGACTGGCTAATAAATTAGCATCACAGTAACAACTTATCATGTGACACCTTACTAAAAAATCTTTGTTACGTTTGTATTCAATTAGTGTAGTGCTTTTCAAGAAAAAGATCTTTATTTTTTACATTTCCCATACATATTCTAGTGTAAAAATAAGTCCCTAATAGTAACCATATTGGCGAGCATCAAAGTAGAAGCAAGCAATACGTACCAAATAGGGAATCTTTCTGTCATATTTGGTTTCATTCTTACTAACCAGTAACTTTATTATTCTACCCCATGCGCTCTTAATTTTGAAATTCTTGTTCATGTATCTGCCAAGTTGGTTTCTTAGCTGAGTCGATAATTTAGGTTAATATTCTTTAAAGTTCTTTGGGCAAGGTGAGCTTGAATTAAAATGGAGTAAAGGAATACCATCTTTCATAAGGATCCAGTTTGCATCAATTTGTTTCTCTGCCTGGAGATAATATCGCCCATCTGTCCAAAGTGCTGCTTTATCACTGGTTATTACAGCTGTTCCTGGTAAAATAAAAATAGAAAATCTTACATATGTATTTTATTTATATAGCCAAAACAGCTATTTAAAAAAAAACAATCAGTATAAACAGACAGTTCCATTTAGACACATGCACTCAAGTTTGTCTAGTAAAAGCAATGAATGATGCATTCATAAAATCAGCTGTTTCTACAATAACAACTAGAGGCTCTCAAGAGCCTGTGTCACTCACCTGTATTTACTGATGCTTTGGAAATCATGTAAAATAAGGTTAAAATCATAATAAATAGTATTAGATATTAGATATTATAATGATAACTAAGATATTAACAAAACACTGTAAAATTACTAGCTCAGGGGCAGCAACCCAACAATGGGTTGTCGGATTCGTCTAAAAATTTCAGGGCAGATAAATCTAAATCTGATGAACATTTTTGCCCCCTGTCAGATTTGCTCTAAATGCTTTAGTTTCAGAGATATAAACCAAAAACTGCATTTTACACTAAAAAAAAATCTGATGAACATTTTTGCCACCTGTCAGATTTGCTCTAAATGCTTTAGTTTTAGAGATATAAACCAAAAACTGCATTTTACACCTATGTTCTATTTTTAATCATGTCGGCCATGATGGTTGGAAGGCGGGGTCATCGGACAAATTTTTTAAACTAGATACCCTAATACTGATTAAGGCCAAGTATGGTTAAATTTGTCTCAGTAGTTTCAGAGAAAATTTTTGTAAAAGATTATAAAAATTTACGAAAATTGTTAAAAATTGACTATAAAGGGCAATAACTCCTAAAGGGATCGACTGACAATTTTGGTCATGGCGACTTATTTGTAGATCTTACTCTGGAGAACATTATTGCTGTTTACAGTTTATCTCTATCTATAATAATATTCAAGATAATAACCAAAAACTGCCAAATTTCCTTAAAATTACCAATTCAGGGGCAGCTACCCAACAACGGGTTGTCAGATTTGTCTGAAAATTTCAGGGCAGATAGATCTTGACCTGACAATCAGTTTTACCCTCAGATTTACTCTAAATGCTTTGGTTTCAGAGATATAAGCCAAAATCTACATTTTACCCCTATGTTCTATTTTTAGCCATGGCGGCCATCTTGATTGGTTGGCGGGGTCATCGGACACATTTTTTAAACAAGATACCCTAATGATGATTGTGGCCAAGTTTGGTTAAATTTGACCCAGTGGTTTCAGAGGAGAAGATTTTTTTAAAAGCTAACAAGTGATGAGAAAAGCTCACTTGGCCCTTCGGGCCAGGTGAGCTAAAAACAAACTTTATACCTAATCTTACATATAAAGGAGAAATATTGTTTTAATGTTTTATATTCTTTGAATAGGCAGGTAACAAATCGATGAATTCATTAAACAATATTGTATTATTATCAATCAATTCATTAAATGTTATTGTATTATTATCCATCAATTCATTAAACATTATTGTATTACTATCCATCAAATCATTAAACATTATTGTATTATTATCCATCAATTCATTAAACATTATTGTATTATTATCCATCAATTCATTAATTTCTGTATTAAAAATTAAGTGGACCTTGTCATCCCAAATCTAATAATCATACCTGCTGATCCAGAAAATCCTGATACAAATTCTCTTCTACAATCACATGGGGCTATGTATTCACTCTGAAATAAAAAAAAATGTTGTGTATCTACCAAAACTGAAACTATCAAATAAAGCTAAAAGGGAGATCAGATGACTAAGTGTTGACTCAGTACAATCAATGTTTTCACTCAGTGTTGTCAGATTTGCATGGAAGATGACTAAGGGTTAACTCAAAATAGATAAGTTGACAAGGAAGATGACTACGTATTGACTCAGTATAGTCAGGTTGACAAGGAAAATGACTATGTATTGACTCAGTATAGTCAGGTTGACAAGGAAGATGACTATGTATTGACTCAGTATAGTCAGGTTGACAAGAAATATGACTTAGTGTTGACTCAGTATAGTCATGTTGACAATGAAGATGACTTAGTGTTACCCAGTGTAGTTAGATTGACAAGTAAGATGACTTAGTGTTAACTCAGTACAGTTAAGTTTACAAGGCAGATCCATCACTTAGTGTTGACTCAGTACAGTCAAGTTGACAAGGAACATGACTTAGTGTTGACTCAGTATAGTCATGTTGACAAGGAAGCTGACTTAGTGTTACCCAGTGTAGTCAGATTGACAAGTAAGATGACTTAGTGTTAAGTCAGTACAGTTAAGTTTACAAGGCAGATCCATCACTTAGTGTTGTCTCAGTAGTCAAGTTGACAAGGAACATGACTTAGTGTTGACTCAGTATAGTCATGTTGACTAGGAAGATGACTTAGTGTTGACTCATTATAGTCAGGTTGACAAGGAAGATTACTTTGTGTTGACTCAGTGTCCGGGTTAAAAAGGGAGATGACTTAATGTTGTCTCAGTATAGTCAGGTTGACAAGGAAGATGCCTTTGTGATGACTCAGTATAGTCAGGTTGACAAGGAAGATGACTTATTATTGACTCAGTATAGTTAGGTTGACAAGGAAGATGACTTAAGTCTTAATTATTGTTGAATCAGTAGTCAGATTGACAAGGAAGATGACTAATTTTTGACTCAGTGTCCATGTTGACAAGGAGGATGACTTGAGTCTTAATTATTGTTGAATCAGTTGTCAGGTTGACAAGGAATATGACTTAGTACTGACTCAGTATAGTCAGGTTGAAAAGGAAGATAACTACGTGTTGACTCAGTGTCCAGGTTGACAAGGAGGATGACTTAATGCTGACTCAGTATAGTCAAGTTGACAAGGAAGATGACTTAGTACTGACTCAGTATAGTCAGGTTGAAAAGGAAGATAACAATGTATTGACTCAGTGTCTAGGTTGACAAGGAAGATGACTTAGATCTGACTCAGTATAGTCAGATTGACAAGGAAGATGAATAATTTTTGACTCAGTATAGTCAGGTTGACAAGGAAGATGACTAATTTTTGACTCAGTATAGTCAGGTTAACAAGGAAGATGACCTAGTGTTGATTTATTAAAGTCAGGTTGAGGAGGAAAATGTTTGTGTACCTTACATGTCCACATTTGAGCTGGGCAGCATATCTTGGATAAATGAAATGTATAACATTTTAATACTCAGGATACTCATTAAAATCTTTCCTCAAAAGTTTGCAACTAGCATGATTCCTGTTTTCTAAATTAGTTACACGCATTTCAAATAACACCCTTTACAGTCATGACATATTACTAGATTGAAGAATAAATAGTACCTGATGGGCATCTCCTGATGGTACAATATATGCATGTATTTGTTCCGTAACATATGTTGTGTTCTTCAACAGAGCTCTCAGTCTCTTGAGAATGGTTGTTGTATTTTTCACCACCATGTTTACTGCAAAACAATAACATCATGAATAACCCCAATTATACATTCTAATATTTGATACACTATATACAATGATATATTGAATATTAAATGCATTAAACTAGATGTCAAAATAAAAATGTTTTGAAATACAATATGTTATGTTCAATATACAGACATGTTTAACTTGACAATTTATTCAAATCTAGACTTTGTTTTCTTTAGGAGGCATTTGAGAATTTGAGAATGCTAATCTTTTAGAAATGAGAATTAATTTCGACCATTTGTTGATATTAAACTTGTAGACAAGGATCTATTATAAATTAAAACAAGAATGTGTCCATAGTACACGGATGCCCAACTCGCACTATCATTTTCTATGTTCAGTTGACTGTGAAATTGGGGTCAAAACTCTAATTTGGCATTAAAATTAGAAAGAACATATCACAGGGAACGTCATGTGTACTAATTTTCAAGCTGATTGGACTTGAACTTCATCAAAAACTACCTTGACCAAAAACTTACCTGAAGCGACCAAAAACTTCAACCTGAAGTGGGACAGAGGAACGGATGCACAGACCGAAAAACATAATGCCCCTAGGTGGCGCATAAAAAATATGTGTATCAAAATGAAGACCATTATTTTTAGTCAAATAGTTTTCTGTGTGGTCAAATTTGTGTTCCAACTGACAAGGTCTGTATTTAAGGAAAAAAAATGAAGAAGAAAAACATAAAAAGACTAAACACTTCCATTAAATTATGGTGAAAAATTATCTAGGCAAATTATTTTCATGATTTAAGCAATCAGAATTTTTTTATTCAAAACGATGACCAGAAAATTTAACTTCTATATACATTTGTACACTACTGCTATCTGTAAAACCTGTATGAAATCAAGGTCTTACAAACATGTACTGTTGATTAATCAAAATCAGTATAGTGATATTACCTGTATATAACAGTTATTTGTATTTCACATGTGCTATATATATGGTTCATTCATTCATTCGTAAAACCTGTATGAAATCAAGTATTTTCAAACATTATAAAAATAAAGAGATGTGGTATGATGGCCAATGAGACAACTATCCACCAATAGTACTGTTGATTAATTAAAATCTGTATAGTTCTTTTTACATATATTACCTGTTGGTTTGGGGGCAATCAATCACAGAAGAAAACAAATCTTTGACACGTACCTACATGTGTTATTGTCAAGTGATTGCTTGTTTAATTCAGAACCAGACACAAAGAGAATCCATAGCTAGAAGCAGCATTTCCTGTTGTGTCTTCCAATATTGCAAAACATTAACACTGTTGATTGCCTGTATCCCCAGTTATAAGCAAAAATTTTGCTCTATCAATATTTGATTTGATAAAGGAATGATAAAGGAATTAAATTGTAAATTAAGCCGTGTTTCTGCTAACATGCTGAAAAAATAAGGGTAGGTAGGCAAGCAAACAATTTTATCGTTTAAAATGTTTGACAGGTTTAAACAGGGGAAACAGTGCGACTTTAATAGTGCTTGTTCAAAACAGACAAATAAAAAAATTAAGGGTAGGTAGGGTTAGCAGAAACACAATTTTTTTTTTAATAGGCCTTATTTTATATAATTTACCAGCATTTCAGGTTTTTTCTTGCACTTAGGATTTTGAGTTCTATATATATGTATAGACACTGGTTTATTGTTGTTTAGTTATACTTGGCTTTGGGTTCCTGTCTCTGCACATATACCCTTCATCTGTTTTCATACACATTATTAATAAAACACAAAAAAAGAATGTTAACAAAATAAATTAAAAGTATAGAACACGTTACTCCTAATATTTTTCCAATAAAGGAAAAGTTAAATAAACTGTTAACACAGAGATATGTCTCGCCTATTTGTTATTTTGATAATGCAAATGTTGAAATTAAAATAGCAATACTTTAACATGTAAGTTATGCAAATATTCAAAGTCAATGAACCATGACTGAAGGTACAGGGCTAAACAATCTCCATGGAAATGAGATGTGCCAATGCTAATACAACTGCAAACCAAGTACCATTGACTTTTTTCATAAGTCGTTCCCTTTAAACAAACCTAAAAACAAACATTAACTTGTAAACTATGTAAAAGTTACAAAGTCAATGAACCATAATTAGGTGGTTGGGTTATATAATCTCCATGGAAATGAGATATGCCAATGCTTATACAACTGAATATCAATTATCATTGACCTACACTAACAGTTCCCCTTAAACTGACCTAATCACAAACTAATACATGTAAACTAAGCAAAGTTTCAAAGTCAATAGACCTTGACTGAGGGGGCGGGGCCAAATAATCTCCATGGAAATGAGATATGCCAATGCTTATACAACTGCATACCAAATATTATTGACCTACCACTAGTGGTTCCCAATAAACTGACCTAATCACAAACTAATACATGTATACTAAGCAAAGTTTCAAGGTCAATAGATCTTGACTGAGGGGGCGGGGCCAAATAATCTCCATGGTAATGAGATGTGCCAATGCTAATACAACTGCGTACCAAATATCATTGACTTAATATTAGTGGTTCATCTTAAACTGACCTAATCACAAACTAATACATGTAAACTAGGTAAAGTTTCAAAGTCAATAGACCTTGACTGAGGGGGCGGGGCCAAATAATAATCCGATGAGCATACAGTTCGCCGAGAGATAGTGAACAAAATGATGAAAAGCATTGCATTATTATGTGTAGTGTAAATGTATTGAGTATGAAAATGTGTATACGTCTATATACGTGTATATACGATGTCCTCTTGTACACCTATGTGTCTGAGGTTTAATAATAAAGTATTGTCTATAAAAAAAAAAAAACAAAAAAAGAAGAAAAATTTTTTAACATCGAATGTCTTTTGAATTTTGCAAAAAAAAAGTATTTCATTAAACAGAAAAAAACTCATATCAAATAAGTTTAAATAATTTTTTTTATTTTTATTTTCTGAAGAAAAATTTTATTATTTTAAATAATCAAAAATTCTTTGTGAAACAATAAAGCTTATTACACTTTTACAGAAGATATAGTTAGGAAATACATATATTGTATATAGTTGTAAATATTTATTTCTGTTCTTTTTTCTTAATTATTATTATTGGTTTTGGTAATGCAGCCTTGGTATACCAAGACAGTCACAAGCCTGTTTAATGCAGAGTGTCCATACCGTAATATAATTTCATTATCATTTAATGATTAATTATGTAATGGGCACGTGTCAGTAAACAACAATCTAATTAACAATATGATAGAATTGTAAGGTAATAAATATTTTCATTATTGGGAACTTGGCATTATCACAATTAAATTATCTAATTGGCAAAAAATATTTCATTATTAAACTTAATTTAAGGTATTAAAATGAAATTGAATATACAAATGTATATTGCCAAAGAAATTAAATATGTGAAAATTCTTAATTACGTTTCATTCAATATTGAGTAAATCGTTAAGAAAACTAATTGGTGATTGGAGTAATTGCATGGCTTTGATGTACTTGTTAACTTTTCGAAACCTTACTGAAAAACAATTATTGGACAATACTCTGTATATACAGTACATTATTTAATATTTTATTTTCATAGCTTTTCCCTTTGTATGCATATGCAATCATTCTTTTAATCTTCCCATTGTGTTTTCCTTGGTCGCCATGTTGGATGTACACACTAATATTTAAAGCGATCTTTATGAACTTACCTGCTTTCTATAAATCATTTTTAAGTTATAAAATACACTTATAATACAATATTATTTAATAATCAATGTTTAAATGTCACCAATATGTGCTAATATTAAAATTTCAAGTGTTATTCGGTGATTACAAGTGTTATTTGGCTAATAACGGTGTTATTCGGTGATTCGAGGTACCGTGTTATCGTAGGAAAAAAACCAAGGAGTCCAAACATCTGACACAAATTCCTAAACCTCACCTAAGTACATCCTCAAGTGTTTGTTTTTCTTAACTTTTGACTGGGACCAATAAATCATGTATCGGTCCAAGCTATGGAAAAGTTATTTTTTCATTTTTACAAGCATTATTAAATACTTTTTGGTACCAATGGTCTTGTTATAAGCTAAGCTACAAAAGAGAAAATTTTAAGGTAGATTAACTTTACTTATTAGAAATCGTGCAATAATATTGTGGAAGAAACAATTCCTAAGATTATTAAAGGGGGTGTTGTCCTTTCGAAGTCGAGAACTTAAACTAGTGACACAGCGGGCCAGGCAGGCTATTTGATTTTTAAACATGCTAAATATATTGTCATTCATACTTTCGTTCTACAAACAGTAATCTTTACAAACCGGCAAATCGATCGTCAACTGAAATCTTTTCTATTTGAATAATGCAGTAGCAGAAAAAATCTTAAGGTAACAGGGAACCTGTCAAGTCAATGTCAAATAAACTCTTGAAAGTGTAAAAAATTAAAGAAAACAGTTTCGTGCCCGTTTCTTTTTGCCACGATTTTGTCAGTCTTCCTTCGATTCATAATGAGTTTTGATTCCCTTTCGCCCCTTTTTTTTACAAACAACATTTTTAAATGTAATTTTTAAAAAATCATCCAGATCTGAGACTTCTATAACATATAGTAGTCTCAATCCAAATCAACGGAATAACAATCTCTTGGTCAACCCAAAATGAGCTAACGAGTTATCTCCTGTTACCAGAATTGTATATGTACAAAAGCAGTTTAAGCTTCTCTTAAATGATTAATTACCTCTAACTTCTGCAATTTTAAAATATATATTTTATATATTAAGTTATACGTTCTCTTCCCAGGATAAAGTAACTTTTCGAAATTCATACAAACTGTATCCTAGAAATAATATGTCCCCAGTCTCCTATTGCAGAACATGATTTTGGGTATAAGTTAAAGCATATCTTATATGGTCGAAGCAAAAAGGATCAACCACAAGTAAAACATACTTATGTTAAGGCCGTAAGGTTGCCTATAATTGCTTACATCCACTTTATTTGAACTTTGGTGGATAGTTGTCTCATTGGCAATCATCACGGCTGTCATTCGGTATATCGAGAAAACCGATTGAGATTGGATCGTGAAAGACCTGGTATAGGATCGTGAAGGAAATCTTATCGAGAGGACACATGCAAGGTCAATAAAAAATCTAAATTTAATGAGCTATATAATGACAAATTTCGGAAAAATAAAACTGTCTGTCAAAATGGTTCAACATTATGATCAGTATCTGAGAAAACTCAAAGTTCAAAAGTACACAGTTCTTACAACACTACAAAAGGCAAATTGCTCATCGACATTTCAATGACAAAAAAGTAAACAAACATGGTTTTTTGTCATATATTGAATGCATATACTACTTTTCTTTCAAAAATATCGTTCCATATTACTGTTTTAAATGGTTCTTTAAGTTATTTTGTTTTAGTTTAATCAGAATCTTTGAAAAAATGGGAATATTTGTAAAAGTTTGATATTTCGGATCGTGAAAGATCGGGTACCGCTTTTTGATGATCGTGAAAGATCTGTTGTCGCTCATTCGTTATTGTTAAATTCCACGAAAACGATCCAAACATTCTTTGAAGGGGTGACATGATAATTTATATTTGTAATTGGTATAACAAAAGATTGGATTTGCATGACTTATTCAGCTTCACTTTTGTTTGTGAATAGGGCTATGATGGTTCAATGCCATTGGATCTGATTATTTGATAATACCACACCGAGTAGTTGCCCTTTTAATAATATACCCGTCTACCCGTCCTGCATAAGTTTTATGTCGTATAAAAAGTTCAGATTGTTTCATCTAATTTCCATTTATTTTTATGCACAGTCATATTTATAAAACGAAGATCCTTATTGATTCAGTTTGTAAAAATTGAAAAATAAAACATTGTTTAGAAAAAAAAAAAGCAGGAAAACAACGGGCATATTCTTGACTTGGCACAGGCATTTTTCTTAGAAAATGGTGGGTTAAACAAGGTTTTCTAGCTAGCTAAAACGCCCACTTATATGACAGGTTTTTTTTTATGTTCCGTAATATTGCCAAATTGGGTGAGCAACCCAAACAGACATAATTGGTTATCGTTGCCATTACTAAGATCCATCAGCCAAAAACACCAAAGAAATACAACACAACTTAATTAAACGTTAAAACACAGTTACAATTAAATCAAACAAAGACGTCAACATAAAAGTTTTTGTTGTTGAGAATGCAGTCAGTATAGTCAAGTTTAATGACATATAATTTCCCTATAAAATACAAAATAAGTAAAATATAAATACAGCGGTACTAAACAAAATGAAAACAACACTATAATACCTCATGTGCCCGAATCGCATCTCTGGACTCACTCGCACAAGGAACACCAAAAGCAAAAAACCTGAAAGCTGGATGCACATATATCGAAACACGTCAAGAGTCATACGACCAAATGGAACATACTAGTACAAAAACAAATAAAGTTAGAACTGTAAAGTAGATAAAATTCTACACAGAGTCAGCAGCACATAGAATCTATAACTCAAGACCATCCTGTACTATTTGTGTAGTAGACACTGAGTATTTGTCTATTAGGTCTTGGTACTTTCCAATAAACTTTTTGAGAAAAAGGACGAGACATTCTTTCACAAAACCCTGGCTCATTATTTTTTTGCTCAGACACTAATGACGTTTTACAAATTATGAGAAGCAGCTGCAAGCTCCTGAATATCGTATAAATTGAAAAATGTATAATCCATACGCGAATGAAGTTGGTTAATTGCTGCTAAGATGAGGAAAATTTATAATTTCAAATTTGAAATCATCTCGTTCGTCATAGATTCAGGTATTGAGATGACTGCTGTAGTCAAATTCGGGGTATATAAGTCTAAATATGAGGCTTAGGACGATGTGGTGTCTGTAATATCTAGTTCAGGACTATTAATAGGACCCAATCAGAAAAGCTTGTATTGTTTATGGAAAAAACATCTTCAATATACCTGGATGTAAAATTAAATGACATAGCTTCTTTGATATAACCCTTACCAAAACAAAAACATACACATTAAGATATTTCCAGGGGAAGACCATCAGACCCCATCTCGCACCATACATTCTCGGGTGCATTTTCTACATAAGGAAATGCCTGCACCAAGTAAGGAATATGACAGTTGTTTTCCATTCGTTTGATGCGTTTGAGCTTTTGATTTTGTCATTTGATAAGGGACTTTCCATTTTGAATTTTCCTGGGAGTATTTTTGTTACTTAACTTTCTAGCATTATAAATACAAAGATATTTACTTAACGACAATTTGCGCTCTTGGAGGTCTTATCTTGGATTCATAGTTAGCATTGCCTCTTAAATGAAAACAGGCCTAGATATGGGTCTACATGTATACACGTATATATATTTCACAAAAAAAAAAGCATTAATTTACGTTCTTAGTAAGTGATTACACGCTTCAACCAACTACAAGTATATCAATTAGTAAAAGAAATGTTGTTTCCTGATCATTAAGCCTGGTCATGCCTTGCCTTTCACGATCAAAATAATGCGTTGCCTGATCTTTCACGATCAATTTTGATTAATAATCAACATAATTATACTTTTTTTCAAAAATAATATGATTTATTTCAAGTAATAACATACTTTTATTTACTAGACTATCTGACACACTAAAGATTTAGATAAAATATATAAAGATATATTGGAATGTGACCATTATAGATACAAAACGTGATTTTTTTCTAATGATTCTCGTTTGATCGTGTCTCGCCTTTTGTGTTTTCTTAAAAAGTACTTCATTTTTAAAGCAGTGCACAGTATTATTAAGGAAGTTGAACTATTTTGAAATGCATAATTTTTTTTCTGATTTGTTCCACCTTTTGAAAACACAGCAGATTTTTCACACATTTTGAAGTAGAATTACACTTAATTGCATTCACGGTCCAATCGCAATGCTTGACCACCGTTAGTTAGTCTTTCACGATCATTTTTCTCGATATACCGAATGACACCCGTGATCATACCTCATCTACTTATTTTTATATTACTCGGGTACAACAATGACATGCATGAATGATCAACTGTGTCCGTTTAATTCTTTTTTATATTTACATGTAAAGCTACCTAGCGGATCAGTCATGGTGTCAGAAACAGTACCAAAGGAAAAGGTAGCTAGACACGGCTGACCTGTCTCAATCTAATTAAATCCGAGATCTATATTTTAATTAGATTGGACCTGTCTATATGATTGGTTGTCGCCGGGTTGCCCTCTAGATGCATTTTTGTTATATTTGGTCGCTAGGTTGCTGTATCATTCAAGAATACATAACATCTTCTTTATTCATATGAGTAATGCCATTATATTGGTTCATTATAATCGAAAATCGACGAGTATTATGATCCTAACAAATAAAAACTTTCCAAAGTTTTGTAGACATTAGTCTGCCGATTTGATCATTGACATTTTTGAGTTGTGTCTTATACATTTGGGTCAAGGCTCCACACTTATTGCATTTAACTCGGCAAAACTGCCATGAGACCCTGTCAATAATATTTAGATATGGGCTAATAATATATATAAAAAAAGAAACAAGATGCATTTTCAAATATGAAAATCTAAGGTAACATTTTTTTTTCTGTTTGTGTAAGGCATTGACCCATAAAAAGAGTGACAAGATGCCAAGGGCCATGAAAAAAAACAGACTACAACTGGTCCATGACAAAAATAACCCAAGAAAACAAGATAAAAAAAAAACAATATTCCACTGAACAATAAAAAGAAACTAAAATAATGAGTAACACAAACAATACTAGGACCGCAGGTGAACTCGTGTACTCCGGATGGGTAAGTAGAGAGACAGCCAGTATTTGCTCCAGATGGGTAAGTAGAGAGGCAGACAGTTCAGTTCCGGATTGGTAAGTAGAGAGGCAGCCAATTCCTGTTCCGGATGGATAAGTAGAGAGACAGCCAGTTCCTGCTCCTGATGGGTAAGTAGAGAGACAGCCAGTTCATGTTCCGGATGGGTAAGTAGAGAGACAGCCAGTTCATGTTCCGGATGGGTAAGTAGAGAGGCAGCCAGTTCCTGTTCCGGATGGGTAAGTAGAGAGACAGCCAGTTCATGTTCCGGATGGGTAAGTAGAGAGACAGCCAGTTCCTGTTCCGGATGGGTAAGTAGAGAGACAGCTAGTTCCTGCTCCAACAGTGCCGTGCCACTCTTGTTAAATACGGAATGAGGCATATCCAGTGATTATGTATCTTACAATAGCGGATTGATAAATGTCTCTAAAAACCATCTAGTATATATATATACTAGTATATAAATTATCTAACCATAAATCTTGATCGAATGTTTAATATTTGTATATTTCGAAGGCCGATACTGAATATCATACGGAGGGAACCAGCCTAATTATAATACAGTCTATTTAAAAGCCCAAGAGATTTCAATCATCCTTGCTATAGAGATCCTTGAATTCAGGACAAGAAATAACTAAAAGAGAATTTCGAAAGATTTGGTAGAGTGCATTTTCAGGGTCTAAATAATGGTTTTTATCATACCTCTTAATTTATGTTAAGATTTATTTGTCACTGTTCTATATTCTGTAAATCCAAGCAAATATTTTGAACATATTGAGGTGTTTTTTTTTAACATTCTAATTTGTAACGAAACTAAAAGACTGATTACGGTACGTAAGTACATCTTTTTAAAAGCTAAACAGTCAAAGTCAGGAAAACGTTTAAGATAAATCAGGAACGATAAGCCCATACAAATTATCCAGTTTGCAGCTTGCAAAGTAGTTTTCGTTTTATCAAATGGTCCTCTTATATTGCATGATAACAATGCATAAATACAATATGAGTTAAAATTTTGTACATAATTTTCAGATTTCAAACAGAAAATTGCAGGTCAAGAAGCAATTTAACAAAAAGTTACAGGTTAAATTTAGTCCCCTCTATTGAATATCTTCAGGTTCATCAGAAGGAATTGAAAAATATGGCCGTGTTTACACCACAAAATATACCATGAATACAGACAAACCTGTGCATCTAGTAAAGTTTTAAGGCATGACAGGAACTAGATAATTACATTTCAAATGCATTTTATGTGTCAGAAAAATTATGTATATAACTTGCTTTGATTTTGAGATTCCCTTTTTTTTTGTTTCCACAGGAGTGCCAAAATAAACACACTCCTGAATTCCATTTGATACGGTTCACTCAATTACACTGTTAAAGTTTATATCGCTTATTGTTGTGCAGGTATCTATTGTCCATCTATTTTCCATGTCAATTTAAACAACTCGCTTATATTATTACATAGAGGAACACCTCAAATATTTTTTCAAACTTAGTTTATTTTGGCACCTTCTGTGGGAACGGATTCAACGGGAAAAAAAAGAATCTCAAAATCCATAAAAGTTTATAATTTTCTGAAATATAAAATGCATTTAAAATGTAATTATCTAGTTCCTGCCATGCCTTAAAACTTTACCAGGTGCACAGGTTTGTCTGTACTCAGAACAAAATTTGTGATGTAGATCCGGCCATATTTTCCAAAAATTTATGATGAACCCTCAATCAACCAAATTACCTCACTTCTGTGTTAGATAATTTAGCAGATACTTTTTTACACAATTCAATACACATCTCAACACTCTGTAATTCTTGACATCAAGAGATATAAAGAAATGATTCGATTTAATTATATATCTATTACTTTTGAATTACACTACATTCATGAATTAAAATATTCTGTAAATTACATTTCACAGAGGAACGATAAGGGCTTCATATTAAAGATGTATATTTTTCAAAGAAAAGACAAAAAATAAAATGTGTTTATTTAAAAAATGCAAGAAGAATTTGTTTTACTTGTAAAATTGATTAGTACCAAAATAATCTGTAATTAATTCATAAATTATGTTACACATTATTGATGAATTGCTTGAAACAATAGAAATTGCAAAAAAAGTTAACTTGAGCAGACTGCTTGTGTTTACTCCCATTATATTTTGATTTTTTAACTGTGTAAGGTATTTTTATTTATTTGTATACAAGAAGAGTATTTTTTACAAGAAAATCTGAAATTAAATATGAAAAAAAAACTTTGAAAATTCATCTTTTTGTTTATTATGTCCATATCAAAATCATTAATGGCAAATGTTCAGAAAAAAGATAAGCATATCAGCATGATCAGTGCACTTCAAAAATAAAAATGTTGAAAACAAATTCCTAAATTTCCTTTTCCATCTTTGGACTATTTAATAAATTTATTATGGTAAGATTATGAAACTGAAAATTTCCCTTTGCCACTTTTACAGCAATTTATCTTCATTGTCATATACTTTTTTCATTTACCAAATTCAGTAAGCAATCCTTAAGAGTTAGGAAAATAGTATACCTATGTTTGAACTTTGAACATGTAATGTCCTAAAAAAAACAGCATTTACCGAAAATCTTGAGGCAAAGTATAAGTTTCAAGTCTCTCTCTCTATTGGCTTATGGTTTACTATTAAAGGAACTAAAATGATAAAAACTTTTTTTGAGGAATCTTTATGTGGTTATTTCATCTGTTTCAAATACATGTAATATAAACTTAAAACTTGAGAACATGACTTTATGAAATTTTAAATTGTAGTTTTTAAAGAACTTGTAATTCAAATTTAGTGGTCTGACATTGGCACACATTTAGCTTGTTTAATCTATTGATAAAAAAAGCTTATCTTTCTAAATATCTGATGTAATGCAACTACAATGTATATGCAATAGTGCTATATCAAAGTTTCTTTGTCAACTACATACCCTACCTCAATGGAAGACTCAATATTTGATTGAAATTATGCACCAACTCTTCCAATCTTTCTACCAGTTATTTAAATCACTTTGATTTTCCTCTTAATCCGATATACTTTTCTTTTTATTTATAATATATTCATACACACAATTTCATATATAATAGATATAAACATATTAATATCCAAATCTTTCAAGTTGAGGTTAATAACAAAAACTTTTCAGAGATCTTAAGAGTTTTTGTTATACATTAATATATATATACATTATTGTTTGATGATAATGCACTATGTGTGTTGGCCTCAAGCATACAAGATCAGATGGTTGCTGCCTGAATGACCTAAATTTATTCCTCCCATCTGCTTTTATTAATAAGCATACACATATTAATTATGTTAAAATAAACACAACTCCAAACAATATAAAAAAAATCATAAATAATGTGGCCAAATTAATTTTTGCAGGTTGAAATGGGTGTTGCATGGTACATGACGAGGTAATAAGATGTTCATAACAGCAGGATATTTGTATTTATATGCAGTCCACTGGTTACGTCGGACACGTAAACATACACTGTATAGAAAGACAATCACTGACATTTTCCAACGAGGTTCAGTATTAGCCCATAAATATGGCACTTTTGACACGCTCACTGATCAACTGCTGAAAGATGTGTCTTATATTCAGCGTGTCAATCACATTCGTGATTCCAGGATTATTCTATCAGAAATAACTCCAAAGGTAAGGTCAGCATTGGTCACTTTATAAAAACATGACAGCGCTTACATTCACTATTAATCTCTTCCCTAAATCTAGTGTAATTAGATCCTTACAAGCATCTTATGAGGGTTTGTCTCTTTGACAACCCTAAGTAACAGTTATAAATCACTGAGGTGAAATATTCTATATATAAGTAAAACTATATTATCAAAAAATATTTTAAAAAGTTGAATTTTCTTTATCAGCTTTCGATAAATGTCCAGTATTAAATGCTAACATTTTTAAACTGAATTAAATTCGTTTATAAAAATGAAATTTTAAGAGAACTTGTATATAGGAATAAGGTGATTTGGTATGAATGATGGCCAACTTTTCACAGGAGACCAAAGTACGTGGATGTAAACAAATAAATGTTACTGTACAGCCTTCAACAATGAGAATAAACCCATATTGTAAAAGAAGCTTTCAACATGTTAAAAGATAGCGGCATGACATCGGTCTGATTTATGCTAAAAACAATAAACATAAACAAATGTAACAGACAGCAACCAACCACAATCACCGATTACAGGCTCCTGACTTGGGACAGGCACATAAAGAATGTGGCAGGATTAAAATGGTAGTGAGGGCTCAGTTTAAGTTTTGTTCTTATTACTTCTAGTAGTTACCGTAGTAGGAAAAGAAGTTCTAGAAAATAAATTCATTTTTCAGTTACTATGGTTACCAATGAAGGCTTATCAATAATCATGTTAATATTCCACCATTTCTATGTGTTTACACAACACTAATATTCCACCATTTCTATGTGTTTACACAACACTAATATTCCACCATTTCTATGTGTTTACACAACACTAATATTCCACCATTTCTATGTGTTTACACAACACTATATATAACTATAAGTAGACCTTAGAATGTCAAATATACACAAGTTCTTGTAAAAGACAAATCTTCTATACTTAATTTAATATAACCTACATTTAGTGCCTCAGTGTTTGGTTATCTATGATATTAGTACTTCATTGATATTTCACCACTGTATTCCTGAAATATAATATAAGAACATAGATCTAATATTACTTATTATACCCTGCTTTAAAAAAGTGGGGGTATACTGTTTTACCTCTGTCTGTCTATCCATCCATCCGTCTGTCCATTCATTGGTCCGTCCATCCCATGAATATTTTTTGTCACATCTTTCTCAGGAACTACACTACAAGGATTTCTGAAATTTGGCGTCAGGGTTTATATGAGTCAGCTATACCGTGTGATGCATTTTCAGATTCATCACTCAACAACTTCCTGTTTACTGAACACTTACATCATTTTACACATGACATCCAAATTGAAAATTTTTCGTCACATTTTTCTCAGGAACTACATTACAATGATTTATGAAATTTGGTTTCAAGGTTTATATGAGTCAGCTATACCGTGTGATGCATTTTCAGATTCATCACTCAACAACTTCCTGTTTACTGAACACTTCCATATTTTTACACTATTAAAATGATCCAGTTGTGGCGGGGGTATCATCAGTGAGCAGTAGCTCGCAGTTTCACTTGTTTTAAATTACCATGGTCTATATGTTAGGCTTGAGTAATTGTTAGAGCTCCAAATTCAAGATTTTCTTGTTTTTTTCTGGGACTGGTCATCTATATCACTTTTTCTAATTTTTTTTTAAATGATGGAACCCCTTGTGTGGTTTGTACAATTAGGGCCATACCACTTTTTTGCTATGGTTATAGAAATTACTATGATTACATGAAAACAATGCCACTTGTTACATCAGTGTAATTTGAGTACATAGGAAAATTTCGATGATATCTTGATACCTGTATTATATCTAGAAAAAAACATTTAGAGGAAGCCTTTTGAAAGTTTGTTTTATTCCTGCAGGTAAAAATAAACTTGAACGAATGGACTACATACTTTGCCTTAGAACCCCATCAGTATGATACAACATCAGAAGATGTGTGGGTATTAGTTGAGTCTATCAGACCTGAAAGTGCTCAAGAATATGTGGAGGAAGAAGCCAAATACCAGACCACTAATGTAAGAAAAAGAGGGCCAGTTGTATAGAAACAGCTTGGTTATTTTCTAGAAAAATATTTTTTTTTGGAGCAAGAAAATTTATTTGTGGGAAATAAAAGCTAGTAAACATTGTGTATTATTTTAAATATGCATATTTTTTTTTATATTTAGAATATGATTGCTTTGTCAACAGGGAATAGAAATTCACAATGGGTAAATATTATAGATTTGGAAAGTTTTTGTGTGGAAGTAAAATTTCAAGAATTGAATAATTGTACATGTATCTTGAATCTCCTGCTTGAATTAAGTTTTCTGATTAGATTGTATTTTATAGAAGTACTTATGATAGACTATTGATATTTATTGAATTAAGTTTCTGATTAGATTGTATTTTATAGAAGTACTCATGATATTTATTGTGTTGTTGCATTATTATTCCTACATTATAGCTTCCAGCAAAATATGAGACTGCTACCTTTTTTTGTGCTTAATTGCATGCAGACTTTTTGAATTGTTTATAAGCATAAGCATTCTTTCATTCCAGTTTCAAGTTTTAGGCTGTTACCATTAGTCATACTTCAGTAACGTTTGAATTTTTTACCATTTTTCAATTTTTGTCTCGCCTGCTTAAATTAGTTTCATAGGTAAAACTTGTGATAGATCAATGATATTTTGTATAAAGTTGCATTACTTACAGTACATATCAGTAACTTTTTAGAGGCCCTGCCTGGTAGATCATGGTCCAGTGACAAGGAATTGATTAGCAATTTTCAATGTTAGGTTTTCTGCTTAAGTCAGTTTGATAGGAACTACATGTGATAGATCAATGATATGTTCTGTAGAGTTGCATTACTATCAGTACATATCAGTTTGACAACTATTTTGAGGCCTTGTCCCCTAGGTCATGGTCCAGTGACTTTGAATTAATTAGCAATTTTCAATGTTAAGTTTTCTGCTTGAGTCAGTTTGATAGGAACTACTTAAGATTGACAATGATATGTTCTGTAAAATTGCATTACTACCAGTACATCTTAGTTTGACAATCATTTCAAGGCCCTGCCCTCTATTTCATGGTCAAGCGTCTTTGAATTAAGTAGCAATGGTGCTGTCCATCAGATTGATTTTTTTAGAATTTTCTGCCGACAGGCAAGACATATCTCTGTGTCAACAGTTTATTTTTTTATTTAATAGTCATTTTTTTTTTTGGGGTCTTTGCAAGAAACCATTAATATTTTGAATTTAATTTTTAAATCTTAAAATTGGATTAGGTACTATCCGGTACCAGGTATATCATTTACAAGAATATTGTGATGCCAATGATTCTAGGTTGATAGATAGTTAGGTATATATTTGAAGAACAAACATAATCAAGTTTCTGCAAACATAGAAACCAGAACCTACGTCTAACCATGAACTTTTTTACAATGAAACATTCATTAATTTGTATATTGTCATTCTTTGACAAACCTTTAGCATGCATTGTATGTTATTATAAGTTGGTACACTATATACATCTACCTAGAAAACTTTACTAAATGTATAGCTTTTTTCCATATAATTTTAGATGTTGGACCTAGGCAGGCCAATAGCTTGGAAGACAGGACCTCCTTTTGGTATAATAATGAAGTGTTCTCAAGAGAATTTTGTAGCCATGTGTGTGGCCTTCTCAGACTATGCCTTGTCCACAGATGAAGAGCTTATTGTACAGAAAGTACTCAGTATGTATAATTTGTACTGATTTATGTATTTAATGGTATACAAATTAAATAAATTAAAGTAAAATTGTTGCCCAAAGACCCCATATTCCTTTATTTTCTTTTCAAATAAAATCTCTAATATAATTTTGGTAAAATATCTTTAAATTTCAATTTATTTCTTATGTAGTTTGACATCATTTTCTCCGATAGCTTTCATATGGAAAATCTATAGGCATCCTTTTCCCATCAAAAATTCTTATTCTATAAATATCTGTTTCTCAAAAATAAATAAAAGTATATATAGTAAGATCCTATATCCTTATTTTTACATAATTTTGATGTGTTAGACACTGAAAAAGATACCTTTGATGTAAATGATTAGGCCAATTAAAGTTATATGTATGGTTCTGGTTCCATTGTTGAAAAAAAAGCAATTTTCTGAGTTTTTATATTTTTTTATATATAATTTACCAATAACACATTGTGACTTTAACAGAGCTTTAATTTTTTCCATATTGACACCACTCATGAAAAGTTAAATCCCAACATTTAGCACTAAATACTATTGAATGTAAAATACTGTAAATTCAGAAATTATTGCAAATTTTGAAGAATGAACAAAAATGTGAGATAAATTATTGTGATTATAGGAAAAGCTGCATAACAATACATGTATCAGATAAATGAATGTGAGTTTTTATTGCCATACTGACCCAGACCCATTATTTGCATTACCGGTAATAAAAACCTCACAATAATTTCTAAATTTACAGTATATGATTGGTAAGATAGATAAAATCGTTTAGAAATGCAGTTCATTCAGATACTGTTATTTAATAACAAAAATTCTAATTTTGTTAATGCTGAAAGTATTGATAAATATATCGTATTTTCAACATAAAAAAAAATTCATTAAAAATCATAAATATTCAGGTATAGATGTAGAAGGCCATGCCAGCAACTTGGTACAGAAAACTGATGAGGAATCTAGTATGATGAATAATTTTGATGAGACTACAGAAGTTGGAAGGTGTTCAAATGAATCAATGGCATCATCGAGAAGTGTTGGTAACATAGAAGAAGTATTAGATGGTGCTGACAATGACGAAATCGACTCTATGACAACAAACGAAGATGATATGCAAAGGATGATGGGAGAGAGTGGTTATGGTGAAGCATTAAGTGAAATGATTCCTATGCCAGCTGTTTTTATTCCTCCCGACCAAAGTCATACATCAAAACCTCCAAATGTTTTAGTTTATGCAGGAAAGAAAGACTCTGCCAGAAAATTTCAAAATATTAAATCAGTATTTGAACAATGTATAAATACAAACTGCTACATCTTGTATCATTTGAAACATGACCAGGTGTCCTCCATTCCATGGGCAGATAACTGCGCATTACTAGTTGTATCATGTGACAATTTGTATGACAGGGTAGATGATGCTTTTCTCCAGTTTATTGAGCAGGGTGGTAAAGTGATAAGCTTTGGCAGTTCTCTAGATTCTGATTTCGTACCTAGAAGAGAACTTCGTACTCATCCGGATATTTCTGTCGTAGATTATGAGAAATGGAAGAAAGTTACACTATTATGTGGTCGTTACTGCTATCTGCCACAGGAGTCTGTTAAAGATTTGATGTGTATTCAGTCCCTATGTCAAGATAAAGATGGACAAGCTATGATTGTTGACATTAAACCAAAAGCTGAAGGTCAAGGAAGAGCAATTCTGTCACAGGTTTGTTCTAGTTTTACAGTTTATCTCAAAGATGATTTATAAGAATCTTAACTGCTAAGCCTTCTTACATTTGTGTTTATTATTAATGGAAAAGAAATGATATGGTATAGTTTTTAATGAGACATCACTACACAATTAGAAAAAAAACAAAAGAAAATGAAAAAAGCTTTTTTTGATGTCCATCATCTCAAAGTCATAAGGCAAAAGCTCATTGCTCACTGCAAGTTCAAAACGAACCCCAGCAACAGTTAGAGTGGAATTCTCAGCTAGATGTTGATGTTGCTATATCTGTGCATTGAACACAGCTGCAGGGTAACATCAATAAAATATATAAAAGTGTATGAATAGGGCAAATAGCTTGGATAACCATATCAGATTATTCCACTGTACATATTATTACTTCATTGTATATAAAAATTTCTGTTCAAAATTTTAAAATTCAATTGATTTTATTATAGATTTCTTTATTTATAATGAATTGATGAATTCAAATTTTTGTTAGAATCATTTCATGTACATATGATTACAATTGTTTTGGTGAACTCCCAGGCTTGTTTATTGGATATTCATATTTACCTTTTATATTATTGGGATACTTAACATTTATATTTCTTATATTTTGGATGTGGGATCATTTGGGATATTTCTTTTTTAAGGATATAAACACTTGAATTATTTTGGAGAAATGGAATACTTTTGATATTTAGTGTGATATGAGATAACAGGTAGACCCTACTATGGTATGTGTCAGAAATAGCATATATACATTACAACACATTTTAATAGTAAATAACAATATAAAAAATAAAGATAAATAAACATCTTTTATAGTCACCAAGCAATTTTATGCTATTTCAGTAAAATTTATACTAATGATGGTATTTTTAGGTTTTACTAGACCAAGATCCGACTGATATAGCAGCCACTGTAGAGATGTTTAACATCCTGAAGGATTCTAATTCAGTCAGATTAGAGATGTTAACATCCCTACTGAAACGAATGGGATATAATTGTGATAGAGACCAGACACCTATATTTACACCAGCCTACCTCTTATCTAAAACCAAGGTAAATTTCGCATCAGCTTATCTGCTAGTAAACTATGGTAACTCATTCGCTATCCTACCTCTTAGCTTAAACTAACTTACATCTCACATCAGCCTATCTGCTAGCTAAAATAAGGTAAATCTCTCAACATCCTACCTCTTAGCTAAACTGAGGTCCATCTCACAGCAGCCTACCTTATAGCTAAACTTAGATCCATCTCACAGCAGCCTACCTCATAGCTAAACCAATATAAATCTTTCACCATCATACCTCATTGCTAAAACTAATGTCCATCTCACAGTAGCCTACCTCATAGCTAAACTAAGGTCCATCTCACTGCAGCCGACCTCATAGCTAAACTAAGGTAAATCTATCACCAACTTAACTCCTAGTAAAACTAAGGTCCATATCACAGCAGCCTACCTCCTAGCTAAACTAAGGTAAATCTTTCACCATCCTACGTCCTAACTTAACTAAAGGTTATTATTTCACCATCCTACCACTGAGCATAAACTATAGTACATCTCACAGCAGCTTAGGTCCAAGCTAATCTAAGCAAAATATTTTACCATCCTACCTCCTAGCTAAACTAAGGTAAATCTTTCACCATCCTACCTCTAAGCTAAAAGTAAGGTACATCTCACAGCAGCTTACCTCCAAGCTAAGTTAAGGATAAATATTCATCAACCTGCCTTCAAGCTTAAAATTCCAGTAAGTGTTATACCATCTTATTGTCTAGGTAAAATTTTAATAGGTAAATATTACCTTTCTTGCTTCTTGCTAAAACTGAAATCACTCACCAGCTTTATTCTTAGAACAACCCAAAGTAAATTCCACACAAGCCTGATTCAAACCTAAATCTAAGGAAAAACTTACTTCAACAAATATTTTCTAGATAAAACTACTTCATATCACACACTTCTTGGCAAAAACAAAGTTAAATATTACACAAGAATATCTTTTGGCTTCAACTGGTGTTAATCTAACACCTGCTTGTTTCTCCGCTAAAAGTAATGTAATTCTTGTACTAGCCTATTTTAATGCCCCACCTATGTTTTTCGGTCTGTTTGTTCGTCCGTCCGTTCGTCCATCTGTCTGTCCAGCTTCAAGTTAAAGTTTTTGTTCAAGGTAGTTTTTGATGAAGTTGAAGTCCAATCAACTTGAAACTTAGTACACATGTTTCCTATGATATGATCTTTCTAATTTTAATGCCAAATTAGAGTTTTGACCACAATTTCACAGTCCACTGAACATAGAAAATGATAGTGCCCGCTTCAGGTTAAAGTTTTTGGTCGCTTCAGGTTAAAGTTTTTGGTCAAGTTAGTTTTTGATGAAGTTGAAGTCCAATCAACTTGAGACTTAGTACACATGTTTCCTATGATATGATCTTTCTAATTTTAATGCCAAATTAGAGTTTTGACCCCAATTTCACGGTCCACTGAACATAGAAAATGATAGTGCGAGTGGGGCATCCGTGTACTATGGACACATTCTTGTTAACTTAAATATTACATTAGCCTTCATTCAAGCTGACACTGAAGCAATCTCATACCAGCATCCCTCCTAGCTTTAACTTTGAACTTAAATTTATAAAAAATACAAGACCTAGAAATCTCTGACACCTAAGATTTAGATCAGATGTCATTGACAATGCTCATTACAGGGTTAAATAGAAGTAATCAGATTGTGTCTAAGATTTCTCGTCTTGTACTCTTGGTAGTATTTGATTCTTTTTTATGCCCCACCTAGGGGCATTATGTTTTTCGGTCTGTGCATCCATTTGTCTGTCTGTCCCGCTTCAGGTTAAAGTTTTTGGTCAAGGTAGTTTTTGATGAAGTTGAAGTCCAATCAACTTGAAACATAGTACACATGTTCCCTATGATATGATCTTTCTAATTTTAATGCCAAATTAGAGTTTTGACCCCAATTTCACGGTCCACTGAATATAGAAAATGATAGTGCGAGTGGGGTGTCCTGCTTCAGGGTAAAGTTTTTGGTCAAGGTAGTTTTTGATGAAGTTGAAGTCCAATCAACTTGAAACATAGTACACATGTTCCCTATGATATGATCATGCTCATTAAGAACTTCGTATGCTTTTGTTTACTCTATATACAAAATGTATTTGATGTTTTGTTTTATTTCATCTACCACACATCTACTCATTTTACTATTCTTACTTTAAAATTTGGTAAATTTTCCATCATATCTTTTCATTGAAATATACTCAATCTCACATCAATCTTTAAGCTAAAATTGTATAAATGTTCACACTAGAATGCTTAGTAATTAGAAATAACAATATTCCTGCATATTACACATGTACCTCTTTTAAGGCTATGAGAACAAAAACCAAAGAACCTAATAGAATAACCAAAACTACAAAATTTGTAAAATCGTCAACATCTTGGAAAAAGAAAAAAATGTTTTGGAAAATGAACAAAAATATTTCCCTTTTTGTTATGTAGGATCTTAAGTCTTCCCTCATGTCAAGTATTGAGAAGCGTCTGACTGAAGGAAAACTTAAATCTGCCAGTTTGACCTTGAAATTCATCTCATCAGGAGAGGTTGTTATGGCAACAAAGGATTTACTTCCTGTTGTTTCCAGTGACTCAGGGAAAATTCCATTCAATGAGGCTTTGTACTGGAAGAATTTGTCGACAAAAAGATTGGGAAACACTATGTTCTATACAGATGTTATACATTCTACAATGCCTGTGTTAGAAAGGTATCTTTTTTTCTTAGATTTTAATGTCGTCTGCAAGATGTGTGGTGTACATAAAGATAGAGATATTAATTGCTATTCAGGTATCACTGTAATCACCATTACCAGAAGTTGTTTTATTCTAATTCACAGAATGGGAGGTATACAGCAATCATCTTGTCCGTCCATTTGTCTGTCAATGTTCTCTCCAGGGCCTGATATCACCAAAGTACCATAGAATTTATTATGAATGTGGTGCTATTATTTTAGTGAAACAGTGCTATTTCAAATCCCAAAGCACCAAAAAACATATTACTGGGCTTCTATGTTGAGAAAGATTTGATATTTGGTCTGGAACAATATAATGTTAAGCTAGTGATTTCAGATACAAGAGAGTAGTCACTTCCTGTTTGAAGAATCACTTTGAATTTTTTATGCAACTGAACATCGATCATTTTTGTCAATTTCCTATATAGAGTGGGGGTTAATTTGCATGACATTGTCTGCAACATGTTGTTAAGATTTCTTATTAGTTCAGTTTTGTAAGAAGCACAATTGATTAAAAAAAATGAGGCCCTTGCTTTTTTAGTTATTTTTCATTTAATTACTGATTAGATCCTTTAATATAGGAGTACCTGCGATATTCAATGGACATTTGATATTTCTACTAATGTATCTCTTTTCAATCAAAATAGACACAATGATTTCTGGTGAAATTTCACAATTCAGTCAGTCAGGGGTAATACTTATACAAGTGTTTTTTTTAATTACTGATACAAGTAACTGAAATTTTTTTAAAGGAAACTGGATTCTTTTACCAGAAATACAAACATACTATGTCACAAACTTTTTTCAGTATCCATGTACATTGGTCTCTTGTGGATAGTTGCCTCATTGGAAATCATTCCACATCACCTTATTTATATATATATGGATATTTGTCTTTATATTGTACAATCTTTGCACCAGGTGATCACCATTTTGAATTTCTATATTTGCTAGAAAGTCATACCACTGTGCTTTTAAGAGTTTTTTCTCGAGTCGTTTATTTATATCTTTTTTCACAGTACAACAATAATATTCTATTCACATTGTGCCACTGGACGTTAAGCAACCAACAATCAATCAATCTATTCACATTGTTCAGTTCTTTATTTAAATGGTGGCAGTTATCTTTCTTTGGATAAGATTGTGTATGCATCAGTAAAATAGGGGAGGGGAATGAGTTTATTAATTTCAGTAAATGTGATTGTATCTTTGAATGAGCTTTCATGTCAGTTTGAAATTGAATGATTTTGTCTTCTAAAAGTTTGAAAATTTAAATCCTTATATAGCCAGACACAACGGCAATAACAAAAATAAAATTGCCTGCTTTAAATTATATAGGCTATATTGGAATAGCCATAGTACATTGGGTAGAATTGTTATGATGTTCAATTTCATGCAGTGAAATTAAGATGTGAGGTAAACTTCAATGCAACAGCAACCCACCAATTCAAAACTAAAACTGCAATACTTTACAGAGAAATTTATTCTGTCAATTGTAATTGATTTATTTTATTTAAATGATATATCTCCCTTCACAACTCAAACTGGGGAAAAAAGGGGGAGGGATAATTGCAATAAAATCAAAATGGCAATCATAGAGTAAAAGTAATTAATGATTATGTATGGTTGATTTCAGCTTACAGTTTTCCTGTGGAGACAACATAGGTCTGATAGCTATTTCAAATGTCCAGACAAATGGCAAAGGTAATATTGGTTTTCTGTATAGTAAATCTTTTGAGTACAACAACATTCAAAATTTCTCAAGGACATGTACAACCCAAACTTCACACAATTTCAAATACAGTTATCTGATGTATGGTGTTTAATAAAAATATTTTATAGGAAAAATATTAGTGAAGGGGACTGGGCAGATCCAGGGTTTGAGGAAAAGTGTTGCATAACTGTCTTTAATAATGAAATTAAAAGCAGGGCGAAACCAAGATGAGATTTGTTGACAATTTTATGCCATAAAAGAATATTTTTTCAAATCAAGGGGTTGGGGGGAGGTGGTGTACAAAAATTGCATTTGAACATTACTGTCTTTGATCTCAGGTTAATCTCTTACCTCTAATTTTGATAATCAATAGGTCATCCACTTTTCATGATTATGTACATGAAAAATGATTGGTCTGTATCAAGTTGATAACTAAGTTATTGATCTTGACCTCAGATTCACTTTGAAGTTTGATTTTCAACTTTGTAAATGAATAGGGTTATTTTTTTAAAGACCAAGTTCGACTTTGGGTGGCGTCACTTTTACAGTTCTCTAGTTATGCCCCTTTTATAACATTATAACATTATATGCAAGCGTGGGCATCATCTGTGTCCCATGGACACATTCTCCATTTTTTTAAAATTTTCATTTAGAGTTCAACATGCAAAATTTCACCAAATCTTATCTGCAGCAAATGTGGGAGAATGTCAAAGTTTAAAAGAGAACACTCTTCTGCCAGCAGCAACATCAGTAACTAATTGGATAAAGGTCAATGATTCTAAAGGTGTAAAAGCTAAATTTTCTACGAAGATTGCTTATGGTCTGAAGTTTTCTTGTGGTGTATTGTAGTTGACTTTGATCTCATTTTCATGGTTCAATGACTTACTCATATCAGTGTTTTAAAAGGTCACTCTTTCATTCATTATAGGTTATATCTATTTGATCTATATAATGACCATCAGTTGTACATTTCATATAACATTTGTCACCTACCTAGATTTGACTTTATTTCATAATTCAGTGATCGATGTTAAATTTCCATGCTTGTCATAGTTTTTGTCTCGCCTTCCACTAAAGTCGCAGTATGCGAGACATAGTATTACTATCCGGCGGCGGTTGTGGCGGTGGCGTAAACTATTTGTATAAAGCTTTATATTTCAGAAGCTAGAAGACCTGGATGCTTCATACCTTGTATGCATATACCTTGTGTTACGAAGTTTCCGTCTGTCATATGCCCATTGTCCTTGACCTCATTTTCATGGTTCAGTGACTGCTTGAAAAAAAATTACAGCTTTTTTGTCAGTGAACTTCTCACTTATTATGAGTAATAGGATAACTATATTTCGTATATGGGTTCCTTGCAACGTCTACTTGTCTGTCAGACAGGGTTAACCTGACCTCAACCTCAATTCATGGATCAGTGATCAAGGTTAAAATTAAGTGATTAGGTCCGTTTCTCAGATACTACAAACAGCAGATCAACTATATGTGGTGTATGGAATGATTGTAAGGGGTACATGTCAGACTGGCAGGTTTCATCTGACCTTGACCTCATTTTCATGGTTCATTGGTCATTGTTAATTTTTTGTGTTTTGGTCTGTTTTTCAAGTACTGTAAGCAATAGGTCAACTATATTTGGTCTATGGAATGATTATAAGGTGTAAATGTCTGTCTAGCTGGTGTCATCTGACCTTGACCTCATTTTAATGGTTCATTGGTCAATGTTAAGTTTTTGTGTTTTGGTCTGTTTTTCAAATACTAATAGCAATAGGTCAACTATAATTGGTGTATGGAATGATTGTAAGGTGTACACATCTGTCTAGCCAGTATCATCTGACCTTGACCTCATTTCCGTGGTTCATTGGTTAACATTAAGTTGATGTGTTTTGGTCTGTTTTTCAATGACCATAAGCAATGGGTCAACTTTATTCGGTGTATGGGATAATTGTTAGGTGTACATGTCTGTGTGACAGTTTTTATCTGACCTTGACCTCATTGTCATGGATCTTTAAAAATGTTAAGTTTATGTGATACTTGTAGTAAAACCTTTATCTTTAAGACTTTCAACATGAAATCAATGGTCAGTAAAACAGGCGAGACATTTCAGCATGTGCACTCTTGTTTCATGCTTAGATCAGTTTCTACTTTGATATGAATAACAGGTTAACTAGTTTTGGTTTTGAGAATGGTTTTAAGGTGAACATGCTTGTCTGACAAGGTTACCCGACCTTGATCACATTTTCATAGGTTTTCTTAATGTTTAATGTTTAGTTTTCTGAATACATGTAGTAGCAAGGCCTTTTTCTCAAATTCTGTCAATTTAATTTCTGTTTTAATCAATTAAGCAGACAAGACATAAGAGTGTGCACTTTTTCAACTTTATGTAAAGATGCATCCAGTTAAGAATTACAGGACTGTACCAAAAATAGGTATATAAATCTTCAATGTATGATTTTATTTTGTTTAATCTTGGATGTTAAGTTTATACTTAAAACTGTTGATATTTGTACCTTTTTTCTTTAGGAAGAGGAGATAATTTTTGGTTGAGTCCTGCTGGATGTGCTATGTTTACTATTACTTTTAAATCTGTTGATTTCTTTTTTCTTCAGGAAAGGGAGATAATTTTTGGTTGAGTCCTGCTGGCTGTGCTATGTTTACTATTTCTTTTATTTCTGTTGATTTCTGTTATCTTTAGGAAGGGGAGATAATGTTTGGTTGAGTCCTGCTGGATATGCTGTGTTTACCATTACCTTTAATTCTGTTGATTTCTTTCCTCTTCAGGAAAGGGGATATAATTTTTGTTTAGGTTCTGCTGGTTGTGCATTGTTTACTATTATCTAATTCTGGTGATTTCTTTTATTTTTCGGAAGGGGAGATAATTTTTGTTTAGGTCCTGCTGGTTGTGTATTATTTGCTATTATCTAATTCTGGTGATTTCTTTTATTTTTCGGAAGGGGAGATAATTTTTGTTTAGGTCCTGCTGGCAGTGTATTATTTACTATTATCTAATTCTGGTGATTTCTTTTATTTTTCAGAAGGGGAGATAATTTTTGTTTAGGTCCTGCTGGTTGTGTATTGTTTACAATTTCCTTTAAATCTGTTGATTCCTTCTATCTTTAGGAAGGGGAGATAATTTTTGGTTGAGTCCTGCTGGATGTGCTATGTTTACAATCCACGTGTGCCTTCCATTAGGGAGCCATTTAGGAAAGGCAGCATCCTACTTGCAACACCTGACATCCCTGGCTGTGGTGGAGGGAATCAGAACACTGCCAGACTATCAGGTAAGAAAGACATAATGTTTCATAATTAAATCATCATATTTCTGTCTAGTGGGAGAGAACCAGTTCACTGTCAGATTATCAGGTAAGATAGACTGGATCCTTCCAATGACATCTGAGATGCCTGGTTGTGTAAAGGGAAACCAGAACACTACTTAGCCATTAAATAAGTGAAACAACATCACTAAGTCAGCATATGACATCACTGTCTGTGTTATTTTGGACAGTTAGGAAGCTACTGGGCCTTTTTGCTATTTAAGAAGATTCTGTCAGTCAGCATTTGGCATCCCTTCTGTTAAGGGGGAAAATAGGACACTACTAGGAAGCAGCACATGTCCTTGAGCATCTGAAATCCTTGTCTCTATTTTGGGAACCAGACAACTTTCAAGTATGCTACCAGGAAAGGACTTGGGATCATAACTTACCTGGATTCAAATTAATAAATAAATAAAAGTGACCAGGCTTGTATTTTATAAAACCTTTTGAGAAACATAGACTTAATTCCTTAAAAGTAAAATGAAAGTTCAAATATCCCAAAAGGATGATTATACCCCAGCTCCCAAAGGAGGAGGGAGGTGTAAAAAGCCAAGATTTCAATATCTAAACTAGTTTCTATTTAATGGCAATAACAGTACCATACCTTACACTTATTTTAAGCTATCATACAACAATACTGGTATCTTTCCAACAAGAATAATTGTATCATAACTTGCATTAAGACTTGGATATCCTATGGCAATACTGGTATTTTTATCCTATAGGAATAACTGTGCCATATTTTACACCAAGATTAAGATATCTCTTAGACATGCTAGTACATTTTGTATTTATCCTATATCAATAATTGTATCATACTTGTAGTTTCAGAATAATTATAAATGTTGTTATTTGTGGAATTCCAAGTTAATGAATCTGTTATATAGAAAGTATATTGTCTTACTTTGTAAATAACTTATTGTACATACATCCCTGTATAGGAGGTAAGGGGTTATATAAGTATCACATTGTCCAGCTATATGTCTGTCCCGTGTCCTATGTTCCTTTTTCATTTATGGAAATTATTTCATAGTTTCTGCTTTGGTAAAAGTACTATGAGTACCATGAGTCAATGGTGAGTCACACATTGACTCAATGGCACAAAAGGTCAAGGTCATTTGACGGATGGTGTTGCAGACATATTTTTTTGTTCTGCATACTAGGATCTGAGTTATACTTTACACAGTTGTTGCCCAAATAAGGTCATATCTTGAAGGTTAAAATCACATACGGTAAATACAATGTATATATATATATATATTTGGCAATCGCCAATGGCAGTCAGCAGGGTTTAAGAACATCCGTTGTTCGACCTGATAGTCAAATGCGTTTTGTTAAAATATACTTTTTCACTTTTTAGGTCTTTTTGAAAATGTTGTTTGTGCTGTATTTAGACCCCTCTACCAAGAAATTTGTTTTGCATGCACACGTATAAAAATTGCGGTTTTTATCCAACGCAATCATAGGTTTGAACGTTGTTTTCAATTTAGACTTGTTTATATATATACTGTCTTACACATATCTTGGTAATGAACTTTTAGGTCCAAGAGGTCCAAGAGGTACTTCTAAGTTGGGTTTATATTCCAGGTGTCACACCTTCCATATGATAAAAGCATGCTCATAGTCAGCGACGCTATCAAAATGGCTGATAATAAATTATTTTCAACTGGCTTGTAATGGTCTATGACTGCTCTAGCCACAAGGTTTTTTCGCAAGTGATGATGCACATTATGGCTTCTACTTGCTGTGACAAGGTAGATATATTACCAGTAACATCTCAAACTCCTCACATCGCTGTTGCCACCAGGGTATAAACCCATCTTATCACAATTTAAATTATAACCCAAAGGTTTGTCATGACCTTGACCATAGCTCAAATTTGTATTTAGAAATTTGTATTGTGGAAGACATGTCGTCAGATTAACATAACACATTATGATATACCAAAGTGTGAATAAAACAGTGAACCTTTTACATTGATTTGCTGTTTCCTTTTGAATGAAAAAGACTAGTGTTGGAATTCCATGACAAATCTGCCATACCGTTTTATTTCCTTAGAAATATACTTGGGTTTTTAGAAAATTCTACATGCAAGAATGAAAGAATGCTTACATAACTAAACAGTTTGGTATGGATTAATAATCTTACTGTGGATTGACTGTAACATTCGTACTGCAAGTACATTAATACTTAAAAGTACTTAAATCATATCATTTTTATTATGGTACAAATATATTAAATCATTCATAACCAGAAAATTTAATGTCCTTCAAAAGAAATAATGTTGATTTAAACTTTCCAATAAAATATCCATAGATATACTATAATGGAAAATTAACAACATTCATAAAGTTGACTTATTACTCCTGGAGATAATCACAAGAGTTAGTTTAACTATTTTTGATATCATAACCCATATCTGAATATTTTCAATAAAATATCTGTATAGCATTTCTTCTTTGGGGAATATTGATAACGCAAGAGTCATCCATTACCATATTTGCAACATATGCAGTTTATTCTAGTGAAGAATGATTAGTTGCTCCTCTGATAGTACTTGTCATGGGTTGTCTGACGTAGATGATACATATTTAATAGTCTTGATTACCAGATGGCACCATTTTAAATTGGATTTATGACAAGTAAGATATCTGTACTACATTGACCTGTCTGGTAGCATCCCTCAGTAATCCTAGTACAATATGTTTAATATATATCATTTCCATTACCAGAAATACTCTTTTACTATACTCTGATTTCTCATGTATTTTAAACATTTTATGGGCTAACTGGATCCCTGCATCTTTGAACTGATAAAGTAATTGTGACAGCTTGACATTTTTCAAACACCCATCTTTATTCTTATGTACATAATCCGACCCTGCCTAAAGAAATATATTAATTTTATCATTTAAAAACAGTTATAGAAGCAGTCATATGGAATTTATCCCCATTAAAATATTTGTCCCTTAGCTCAAAGTACTGACGTAGATTTTATGCCCAACAAACGCACAAATGACGTCAAATAATGTCACCTAAAACCAAACACATTGACGGAAAGATAACGATTGGAATCAAGCATATTAACCTAAATATGCTTTTAAGTGTTCAATGATTGTTGGTTTGTCAATCTGGTTTAAAATTTGTATCCAATGCTGATGAAGGAATTTTACTTTTCAGAGGTCATCTATCTTTTTATAAAGATTAGAAGATATAATATGATTGCCAATAAGACAACTATCCACAATATTCCAAATGGCCTTATGTTTGTACTATCTACTTTCTACAACTCCTGTTTGAGAGAAGACTAAGATACTAAGTTGTAAAACTTGTGTCTGATCCATTTGTTATTTAAACAAGATATGGATAAAACCCCCGTCCCTCTGCTCTGCCATATATAGATATAAGAAGATGTGGTATGAGTGCCAATGAGACAACTCTCCATCCAAGTCACAATGCATGAATATAGTTCTACATACTTTAGATTTGACAAACAGTGATGCTGAAGTACAACTTGAAATTGTTGCGCTGTCTGTTAGACAAAAATGATGCCCCTACCTGACCATAAGAAATTATAAATTTAACACTGTGTATGATGATCTATCTTTTACTTTTTATTCTAAATAAAATTGAGAATGGAAATGGGGAATGTGTCAAAGAGACAACGACCCGACCATAGAGCAGACAACAGCCGAAGGCCACCAATGGGTCTTCAATGCATCGAGAAACTCCCGCACCCGGAGGCGTCCTTCAGCTGGCCCCTAAACAAATATGTATACTAGTTCAGTGATAATGGATGTCATCCTAAACTCCAAATTATACACAGGAAACTAAAATTAAAAATGATACAAGACTAACAAAGGCCAGACTTGCAGGACTGAATGACCAGCCAAAAGGTTTCAACTTTCCAGTTTTAGTAGTCACCAAGTTCAACTTTCTATTTCCAGTATTGATTACGTATTTAACAACACTAAAAAATCTTATTATGCATTAGGGACATTAAACTATAGTAGTACAAACCATGTTTTCAATTATATAGCAAGTGAGAAGGAAATGAAGTGCAACTACCCGTTTTTGTGAATATCTATCACTCCACTTTCTGACATTTAGTTAAAAAAAATATGACTAAGTCCAAATACCTGGCATTTTGAGAATATTTGAAAAAAAATCAAAATCCTGTTGACATGCACACCTCTATTACGTGTAGAAACATCTTACAAAATATTAAAGCTGAAGCTCAATAACTGTAGGGGGAGATAGCCGGACAAATCATGTATCTATATCCAGACCGATGGATAGGGATAAATTAATATGCCCCTCAACGTTTTGTCGTGGGGCATAAAAAACAAAAGTTTGGTATTAGAAAATCTAATTCACTATCATAATATATAGAGGTCAATATACTTGAAACCTTTGGTGTATTTGTGCCGTTGGGTTGCTGTTTAATTGTTGTTTATCCTACATCCCCCTATTTTTTGTATATTTTTCATTTTAGGACTTGGTCTATGGAGAAAACTTTCATCAGTCTGTTAATTGTCATAAATTGAATAATTTTACTAAGTTCATGGGCTGTTTTACAGTACTCACAAATCAAATGTATAAGCTTTATATTGGAGTAGGAACTGCTTGCCCCTCTAGAGCACCTGTGTTCATCCCTGGTTTTTGTTTGGTTTGTGCTGTCTCAGTTATTGGTGTAGTGTTTTGTCAAGCGTGGTTTGTTTGGCAATGTGTTGTCTTTTTTTCAGCAACTTATGTTTTAATGTATTGCCCCATTAGTATCATCTTTTTTCCTGAAGTTATTTATAGATTTTGTACTTATGCTTACTTATCTGTTAAATTATCATTTCATCAAGTTATTGGTATGGATTCCTGAGCAAAATTAAGATATAATTAACACAAGTCTTTTAAACAATTGATTTGTGACATGATACCTAGAACTTTAGTACCATATATATTTATGTGAAAAA